TTATGGATCCGCTCGGCCATCAGTATTGTTAAAACTGGATCATGTTCACAATCAAGCTCTGCGGATTAGTTCAGGAGCTTTCAGGACCTCTCCCGTCCAGAGCCTGTACGTTGACTGTAACGAACCATCACTTTATCTGAGGCATGAGCAATTGTCCCTCTTGCAATATTTTAATATTCTATCCCAACCTGAACATCCCAATAAGCTGTGCTTTTACTCGATGATGCGTGTAATGTTTTATTTGAAACGCGTTCATCCTGCATTCCTACCTTTCCTTTAAGAGTTCACCCTGTCATTGAGGAACATTCCCTCTCTGATATGCGCCCCCAAGCAGTACAGAATTTCAAAATTCCACCTTGGGAAAATTCACGGATCCAGCTTCTTGATGTTTTCAAACATCACGTGAAGGCAAGCACTAACGAGATCGTTTACAGACAACTCTTCGCTGAACACAGGCACAAATATAGCAGTTATTATCCGATATATACAGATGGATCCAAGTCAAATGATCATGTTGGGATGGCGTTTGTATTTGAAGATTACATAGAGGGCAGAAGCCTGCACCATGCTTTCTCAGTCCTAACATCTGAATTAACTGCAATATATTATGGTCTTTTGTACATCTCGAAGCTCTGCCACAAAAGTTCATAGTTTATACAGACTCGTATAGTGCTCTGAAATCTTTGGAAGCTTTTCCCAACACTCAGAATCCTGTGGTAGTGGATGTTCTCAAAATTCATATAAACTTAACATATATGAAGTCCTGTACTGATATGAAGCCCTGTACTGCTGGGTTCCTGGACATGCTGGAATAAAGGGAAATGAACTTGCAGATATCGCAGCCAAATCTACTGTTGAGCTGTCTAGTCGCATTATTCCTTTTAGAGATATCTGCTGTGTCATCAAGGGAAAGATCCGAAAAAAATGGCAGCAAATTTGGGATGTTCAGCTTCAAAACAAGTTAAAACAAGTAAAACCTAGAATTGAGCATTGAGAATCTACCAAACATCGTAAGGAGGAAGTTCTTTTGACTCGCCTCAGAATTGGTCACACTAGAGTGACACATAGCTACCTTTTAAAAGCTGAGAATGAGCCTGTTTGTTCAAATTGTAATGTTTGTCTATCTGTCAGTCATATTTTAATTGAGTGTCCATATTTTAATAATCTTCGTCAGAAATGTTTTAATGGCTGTGACTTACCTCTCGACCGTTTAATCGGAAGAGAGGTCAATTGTAATTTATTTTATTATTTAAAAGAGACTGGATTTTATCACCTAATGTAACTTGTTTTAAAGATTGTATCTTGAATTTTAAATGTGTGGTTTTACCTTGCTTTTATATGACTTCATCCTCTGGATTTGGTAAGCAATTTGAAAGCATCATTCAGTAATGATTTCATCTACCTCGTGTTTGGCGCATTATAATCATTTTTGGTTTTGCGCCAATAATCTTACTCTCACTCACACATTCTCAATCCTTTAGATTCCAAACTGATATTAACAATAGAATTACCAAGTCGCCCAGACGGTATAGTGGTAAGGAAGCCTTCTACGGTACTAAGGTCCCAGGTTCGAATCCAGGAGAAGACATGGATGTTTGTAAATGTAAAGTGTCGGTGTGGCATGGCGGCACTCTAAATATGCTGCGAGCAGAAAGTCCTCTCGTGTGGAATGGTGGGAGAGGAGAGGGGGTGGGAGACCCCCAGATTTTCCCCCACCAGGTGTGCTGCTCTTCCTCAAAACTGGGGGGTGGAAAACAGAAGTCCGACCTCTCTTCGGAGTAGACTCTGGCAACCATTGTTATCCATAAGACAACAACAACAGCAGCATATAGAATTACCAGAAGTCTGAATTAGTCCGGATATTCAGAGATTTGTAATTATGTCCAGGATTAAAAACCTAAAAAAATGAGAGTGGGTGGTCGTCCATTTAGTTCACCATTTTTGCCATTATATCGAACCTCTGTCAACTATGAATAACATTTGGCTTTCTTAAGTGATTAAACAGTACGGGGAACCTCTAAACTTCGATATGGATGCCAATATTCATACAGTGATTTTTATGGACATACAAAATCAAAGAATTTCTAAGGGAAATATCATGCAATGAAAAATATGCAAGAGTGGAACAGAAGCAAGAATCCCAACCATCCACATTACGTTCGAAGTAGACACGCTTCAAAAGGTATTCTGACTGCTTCTCAATATCTAGAATATTTTATTGTCCTGGTTGTAAAATTTTCTTTCATTCCTTTCCACAAAATTTTCTCTATCATACAGGCTTGTACAACGTACTTGTAGGCAGTACTTAAATTGCGCGGAGGTCGTTAGAGCCTGGTGCAACACCGTCGTGTAACTATCTAAAAGGTGTCGCTGGCTCCGATATTCTCAATTTTTGAGGTAAATCGTAAGTTTAGCCGGAGCGCACCCGAATCATAAATAAGCGAGCTCCAACTTTCTTACATGAAACTGAGAAAATTATTTCATCTCAAAAATTTTAATAATAAGTAGCCTTAAAAGTCGATTCTAAACTTTGAATGCACGCCTCTCTTGGGCACAAACCTTGGATGGAGGTTGAGAATTTTAAGGAAAGAGGAGCCTCCAGCCACATATCAAAGCATTTTCTGCAGGAAGTGGAATGATTGTAGGGCAGCGTGTAAATTTTTTGTTAGGAAACTAAATAGTGAAGAATCTGTATCAATGTAGGTAGTTTCTCGCATTGTGAAAAAACAACGGTACCAACTTTTTCCTTTTTAAGAATAAGCTTTTGTCAATTTTCACAATTTTATTATGCTTCCCAATTTTAACATTAGTATAGTATAGTATAACAAAGTTATAGTTTTTATATCTCTAATATGTAATTTTTCTAATAAACTGTTTTGTTGATTCTTACAATTCATAAAACCCAGTTGATATTAACTCTTGATGCTTTAAACAAATGAATCATATGACAGTAATTAAAGGACTAATTAAGTAAGTAATTAAAGGACTGTATGATACAGCAAACCATGTTTGTGCTTGGATACCTTTTTCCTTTCTGTCTTAAATGAAAGCTGCATAGGCATTTTGATTTTTAATCATATTTTAAGTGGTTATTCGAACACTATCTTTCTGTGTGAAGAATGTCTTTTTCATGGAAGAAATGGATCAAATTTTGCATAAAAACAGTAATTATATAAAATTTGAACTTCATACGTCATATTATTTTATTAAAATCCAATGAAAAAATAACATTTTTCATTCTCTTTGGGGGACCGGAAAGTAATGTCGCTTTCTTACATTAAATTCAAATGAATGCATTTTTAACAAATTTTTATTTTTAATCAATAATATAATCACCCTCGTTATCAACAACCTTTTGCCATTTAATGTGCAGATTTTCAATCCCGGACCGATAAAAGTCAATTGGTTTTTGAGTAAAATATCTCGAGAGAACATTTTGGACATCATCCAAATTTTCAAATTTTTTGCCACTAAGAAAATGTTGTAGGGATCCAAATAAATGGAAAACCAATGCTGTGATATTGGCTGAGTATGGTAGGTAAATATGGCAGTACCTCCCACCCCAATTCATTTTTTCCAGTGTTCATCTTCCACAGTGCGGGTCTTGCATTTTCGTGTTGCAGAATGACACCTTTTCTGTTGACAATTGATATTTTTCGATTAAATATTGGTTCACTCAATGCAATGTTCACACTAAAGGTCTGCATTAACAGTTTATCTAGGTTTCAGCAATTCAAAATGAACAATTCCGCGATTATTCGACTAAATGTGCAGAAGCACCTTTTTTAGATATAAACCCGTTCATTTGGAGAGAGCCACTGCCTTTTGCATTTTGGATTACCATATAGGACCCATTTTTCGTCTCCAGTAATCGAAAGATCAAAAAACGGTTCTGTATGGTTCCATTGCGTATGATAGATCAGTTGGCTTTGTTCTCTTCAAACAGATTATAGGGGACCCAAACACCTGCTCTGCTTATTTTTCTAATCTGCTTTAAATATTCTTCAATGGACGACCAAGGTAGGTTAAGGGTGTTTGACATGGATTTGCTTTCACTTCTGCCCTTAGCATATCATTCTCTAATGTTGTTGGTTTTCCTGATCAATAGGATTCAGAGAGATCTGAATTACAGAATTTGAACTTAGAAAACCATCTTTGGCATTTACGAACATCTAATGCACATGGATAAAAACTGCAAATGCTTTAGGTCGCAACTGTTGTGTTATTACCCTTGCGAAATTCGGCATACAGTGCTGGATACGCTCTTCTGGTATTGGCTGGCCATTTCACCCAAAATTGCCCCTAAAAAAAGTTTAATATTGAATTATTTGGAAGTGAGCAAGTCACAATAACCTTAAAATGACTTTGGCATGCCTTTGAGATACACAATAAGCTTGCAAATGACAATCAAATATTGACATGTGCAGAAGCGACACTACTTTCTGGTCCACCCTAATACTTCATTTGCCAACAGTATTTTAATAGACTGACTTTTATGTGCATAATTTTTAAAATATTTTAATTTAAAAATAACATGAGCGATTTTTACAAAATTAGATCAATGTTAAGAATTTAAAAAATGTTATTAAGAGAAAGGTATTAATTGATTAAGTGTGAAAATAGTGATATTTATTTCCATTGACATACCATTTGTATTTTATGTTGAGATTATTTAAATCTTTTAAAATAAATAAATTTTCTCCTTCCTGATTTGATTTTTTGTTGCTGTAATATATTTGATGATTATAAGGTAGAAAGAAGTAAACTGTGGTAAAAGTATTAGAAATGTGCCAATTCACGTTTTTCTTCAAGGCTACTATAATAGGAAGTGCCAACAGATTGGTTACTTTTTTTATAATCATTGAAAATCGAGGGATTGCGCAGAAGCATTGTTGTCTCTCCCTCATCTCAATTAATATTTTAGCTTCAAGGTGAAAGTTTTGTTTTATATCTGTTAAATATTGGAAATAATTTCTAAGGGTGTGTTTCTTATTTTACAGATTGAAGATATTAAGAGGGGAAGAGAAACACCTCTGGAGCAATCACCTAGAGGTAATGCAAAAAAACCCAAACAGCAACAACGTCGACGTAGAGCTGCTAAGATGGTAAATGGTCAGGTAAGAAATAACATGTTGAAGGATAATGTTCTCCTTACTAGGAAATTTAAAGTTGTTGGAATGATATGTAGATAATATTTTGTGTGCATAGTTGCATGTTTTGTCCAAGTTGATTTGTTGGTTTTTTCTCCAGACACTACTTTTTTTTTCCTGCATATAATATTTCATCCTGAAATATGAGGAATAGTTAAAATATACTTTTCTCAAAATTAGGGTAATTGATTGTTTTGATGGAGTAGTTGGCAAGTGCTTGCAAGGTTTAAAATTAAATTAATATTAACAGAAATTAATATTTTATAAGGGTGGAACACTGAAATTTATTCAATTTTGATTAATGCATATATTTTAGCATTTCTGTTTTTTAGAATGTTAAAATAAAACTAAATAAATCTGAAAGTTATAAACTAGAAAAATATTTATGGAATTTAAATATGCATTCATATAATTTATGGGAATATTTTCTTTCAGCTTACAAATTATCTAAACAAAAGTTTTTTTTAAAAAAGTTGCTTTCTGAAAATAACGAGTTCCTTTTGTACTTACAGATTAAGAATCCAAATGATGACTTTAGAATTAGTACATGATAGCAGAGTAAAGGTCATTTAGAAACATTTTTTATCAAAATATCTTGCTTCATGTCTTTATGACATCATTTACCTATAGGTATTTTTAATTTGAGGAAAAATTAGTACAAATAAAACAAATTTAATGCTGATTGCAATTTTATTCAAACTTGGTCTAATTTTCATTATGGTTGATTTGATAATGAAAGTTAAAAGTATATCCTATAAAAGTTGAAATGTTTTGTACAAAGGAAAGATATGCAATTGAGGACAGGGTTTTGCATATCTGCAACAAAAATGCTATAGTAATTGTATCATTTACAAGTACATTACTGCAGGAAAAAATTTCTGAGGTTTCTAAGAAGTGAAAATTGAATGGATTTATGAGAACAATAATTCCAGTCTTTGAAAATATTTTTTGCATTACAGTATTATAGTTTACAAAGTCTAAGCATATTTTTTTCGCTACCACTTTGTTTCATATGCAGATTTGCATATTTGACATTTTTTAGGAGCCTAACAATTATTTGCCTAAATGAATAATTTACCTAAATGTAACAGCCATTAATAATTGCAACAAGAAAACCTGCAGTCTGAATATTTGTTAAACTTTAATAAAGAAGCTTAGGAACTATCCCCCCTTTCTCCCCCTTTTTTGTATGTATTCTTTAAAATTTTGCATGTTACTTTTATTTTGTAACAATCTGACATTTTCATTTATAAGCAGGAAATTTTTTCATTGTTAAATTCTGTGTTTTGAAACATGTCTGAAAGTCATTGTTAATCCTGAGATTGTCAATAATATTATTTTCATCTTTATTAATTCTTTCTTTAATTTACCATCTGTATAAAAATTTTTATTAATTGAGTATTTTCCCTTTGATTCCAGCTATTCATTTACTTTTCAAAAGTTAATTTCAAATTTGTTGAAATTTATGTTAGCACCAGTGTCTAATAGTTATGAAGGTACCATATGTAACACATGCATTAAAAATTTTGACATCGGTGCTTACATTATATGAAGTACATACTATATACTTACATGTTTAAATACGTACTATTCTTACTATCATAAGTGACAATTAATAGTGATCTTAGATGAATATTTAATTGGAGCTGTTTTAACCCTCTGAGCGGCACAAGATTTTAGATCCATCATGAAGACCAGTATTTAAACAGCATTTAATAATTGAGTTTGTATAATTACTTATTTTAGTCTGTATTTTTATGAACTTACATTCATTAAAATGATATGTACATTATTAAAGGAAGTGAGAAAGCAAAATATCTTAAATTAGAAGCTAATATATGACAAGTAGCCAAACTTCTGATGACCGGATAAAGCCAGTCATAACGCTCAGAGGGTTAAATCTACAGAAACCGATGTGTGAATATTTTTACTAACAGTGATATGTTATCATATCCTAAATTGCCCTGTATAAATTAAAAATACAACCAAAGACTCATTTAAATTTTAGTAACATTTGTACTTCTAAAAAGGCTTATTAAAAATTTAATATCCGGGAAGAGCTAGTGTGAGCTGTATAAGTTAGACTATCTGTACACACTTGATTATTATTTTTACTGGATTTTTTTTGTTCATTTTATTAGTTTTTTTTTTTAATTATTATATATATATATATATATATATATAATATATATATATATATATATATTATTATTTTCTCCTTCCTTTCTTTCTTGATATTTTTTCCAACTGCTTGATTAGTTTTATATATTAATGTTGCATTGTTATCAGTTTTTCTTCTTCTAAATCCTAATATTTTTATTAAGATATTTAATTGATTAATATCATGTGAAAATTTTTTCCATTTGCAAGCAGTTTCTATTTCATATTCCTAATCTTCATAGAAAAATATACCAGCTATGATTTATCTGCATAATATCGATGTTGACAAGAAATTTAATTATTATTTTTAATGCTTTAAAAATTATACCACACATATATCCCCCCCAATGAAATAAGGGAGGATTGTTTTTTCCCCCTTTCCTTTAGTTCATGTTAAGTATTAAGCTGTATATTTTTTATGATTAATTTTGCATGTTTATTTTTATATCTTATCTGTTTTTTCTTTGTATTTCATATATCATGATTTATTTATTTTAATTGTTTGAATACCTTTGTGTGTCAGCAGCCTTTACCAGCATTGATTTATTGCCAGATAAATTTTGAAAAGCATGCTTTTAATTTCTTTTTTTAGTAAAATTCTTTAGTTGCATTTGAATTAAAGCTATACTTTTTTGTTCCTTATTAAATGAATGCATAGAGATACTTTATAGCATGTTTTTTTTTTTTTTTTTTTTTTTTTTTTTTTTTTTTTTTTTTTATGTGTGTGTTATTTGTTCTGTAGTTGCCTTTTCAGTAAAAATGAAATGGCCTATTAAGGATAAAGCATGGTTGAAAATGAAGATTTGTTTTCCCTCCATACTTAAAAAGTTCATGTTAGTGGTTAAAAAATAATTTTCAAAAATCTATATTATTTTATTGATTTTCATTTGTTTATATCAACCAAATCGGAAAACTGCAGAATTTTTGTAAAATATATAGATCATCATTTTTAAAGTGCAAGTTTGTTCTGTTGATATTTAATAATGTATTTCAAATGCATGTAAAGCACAAATGAAGTTTTACATTTAAACTGTGGAAGAACTTGTTTCCCTGTTCAAGGTGGTGTTTTCCGTTTTCCTTCGAGTTTCCAAATCACATTGTCAATTCTAACTTCTTTCTTCTAAGGTAGTATTAAAAAAATCAAATTAATAACGTATTCAAGCAAGATTTTTTACTACAATTCTCTGTTTAGATTAAACATAAGTATGAGTCAAAATATTTCATTTTTATTCTGTTTTTGTGACATCTGTAAATTAATTTTGCTCATTTTATGACCTTAGAAATTATGACTTTCTTCCTATAATGTATTCAGAAATTTACTTTTTATCATAACATTATGAATTAACTTAAAACATATTTTGCATGGTAGTGAAGTAGATATGAGTAACCTAATGTAGCAGATTTATTGCTTTCATTTAAACAAATGCTGTTTACATTCCTTTTATGTTCAGCATTTATTTTTAAAGAATGTATAACTTATGTACTGCACATGAACAAATAATTATCCAGCAAGTGATCTAGTGGCTAAAACTGGCAACCTGGAGTCAAATTCTGGCAAAATTTTAGCTACATGCATTTTTCATGGTTTCCCCATGCGTGACATGAATACAAGCCAATTTTCCATAGAAAGTCCTTCACGAAAGTATCCTTAAGTAGATAACCCTGGCATCCTTTACTTTAATCCAGCTAACAAACCAACAAAGTACTAAAAATATGTAAGATTTAATGAATGATGGTTAATGTGATAGGCCTGACCCTGAAATTTCAGGGAATCAGATTGCTGACAATCAAGTGTAAAATTGTCTTGAACACTTTTTATTTGATAGGATGTAAAGAAAGTATCACAGTGGAAATTAGAGTATTAATATCTTTAGTTATTAAAAAAATATTTTCAAAACTTGATAAAAGTGTGATGAGGGAAAAAGGAATGAGAAAATGTGACTGTAATAATTACCAAAGCTGAGTACTATTAATTGACTAGGAAAAAGAAAAGTGAGAAATGAAATATTATAATAGAATGATATGGCATTAGCTCTTTTATTAATTGTCATATCAGAATGTAGAAAGAAAAATTTCAGGATTTATCTTAATTTGCTACTTCTAAGATTTAGCATATATATTTTTTAAATCTAAATTTGGTCAACTGGATAGTGTCTTTTATTAATTATTCAATGCAGGAAGTTCTGAAGTTAAACCTAGAACAGGACCTATGTTACTCAGAAGGTGCATAAGTTTCATCAAGAAATAAATTTGCCCAAAAAAACTGCTTGTTTTCAGATTGATAATTTCATAATTTTTTATTAATTCATGTTATTTGAAATTAATTATTTCAGATGAGTTAAAATCTGCTTAAAACAATAAATGTTCAAATTCTGCATTTCTCCCCCTTTTTTGAAACATAATCTATGAAGCATATGAACGTTTAAACTTTATTTGAAAAGACTTCACTGACAGCAATGATGATTTTAAAGTATAAAATAAATAAATATAATTACACTGTGAATAAATTTATTTCTCATTGCAAAGTTACTGAATTACTGTGTGCACTTTTTTTACCCTCCTTTTCTCAATACATCCAGTAAAGAAGAACACAAATAAATAAGTAAATAAATCATTTTTCAGCAATATATGACTTTAGTCATAATCCAACATTGCTAAAGTGCAAGATAACCAGATTTTTTGCTGTAGACAGAAAAAATTTTCTATTAAAAATTTCTATGCAAATTCAATAATCATGGGATAACCTTATTCTCTATAAATAATTCTTCAGTTACCTTATTGTATAACATTGCATGAAACTTCAACAGAAAAGTTCTTTTTGTGTTCTTTGTTGTTTCTGTAAAAGATATTAAGATATAAAAATTGAAGAAAAAAAGGCAGATATATCATAATAAATATATATATATATGTATTACTTATTATGTAAAGACTAGAAATTGTTTTGAATTTATTTTAAATGTTATATTTTTACTTTTGCATAATAATAATTTTAAAAATGTAAAAGAAACTGAAATGTAACTGATTTTCATTTATAATCTTGATTTTTATCTCTATAAAATACACCATGCACAAAATGGAACTTCATTATTAACTGCCGATATATGGCAGTATTGGAAAGACTTTCTGTTATCTGTTTCTTCTGTTATCCATCATAAAAAACATCCATACTCTATTATCTGTTTCTTTTATCTATCATAAAAGCAATATCTGTAGATTATTTACCTGTTCTGTATCTATAAAAATGGATCTTCATTAGTGTGTTTATTCTATAGTATTAATGGAGGAAAGATTTTGAATAATCTGTCTGCGCTCTTATTCATCTTGATAATGTTCCCATAGTTGATGGCTAATCTAGGTTGATTACTGCATTGAGGTCTTGTTATTTTAAAATAAAAAATTAGCTTGTTATTTTAAAGTTATCAAAATCGAATAGGAGGACGATCCGCTGAATTTGTATCTGAAAGGGCATCATCATGCATTTTGAAATTTTAGTAATAGAACTGATTTTAATGCATTTTTTAGATACAATATGATATTTTTAAATATTAAATTGAAGAAAATATGTTTTCATAATGGAAGTAGTGAAGGAAATGTATTTCATAATGAAAGTAAAACTTCACTGTATAGGTAAATTGGGTTCAGACTTGTACATAAGTTTTGATTTCTTTTATTTTATCATCAAATAAGTTCATCTCTCCATAAATAGGAAATGTTTGCTTTATTCCTATAGTCATGAGATCCTAAAGTAACTAAGACCACTGAATACTGGTAGTTTGACCTGATTAGGTTTGAACTGAGCAAAATGGGCTGGGTGCATAGTTGATTTTCTCCATGTGTGTTGTGAATGCTAACCAATGTATCTCAGAAAATGCTCCACGAAGGCATATAGCTCTTGTGTCTTTCCCATACTGAAACAACTTGATCTATCCTTTCATTTTACATTGTTTATCTTTAGAAATGTATAATTTTGCCTTTTCAACCAACACTCATCATTCATGACATTATAGGAAATAAATTTGTTATATTAATAGAGAGAAAAACATTAGTAGATGAAATTTCAAAAAGCTTGATAATATCAAGCATACTCTTACTATTAAGGTAATCAGTTCCAAAAAATGCCATCTTTAAAGTAATGTTAATCAGATTTAGAGATATATATATAATATATTGTAATTCATCCAACTGTCTGTTTGAGTTATTTTATGTTTCTCATTTACTTATATGAAATTAAAGGAAAGCAAAATAAAATAACTGCATGTTTTACTCATAAGCACACTATTATCTTAATTCTTTGTGACAAAAAATTATTTAAACAGTTTGGATGCAATCTGTTTGCTATTCATATTTTTTCTTGGAATAGCTCTGTACATTTCATAAGGCAAATCTGGATGCTTAATTTCAAGAATTCTGTTCTTCATACTTGTTCTTTCAACTATTGCAGCATGGTGGAACTTCTTTTTTTTAATTGTTGAAATATTACTTTTAAGAACATCCCCCCCCCCGGTTGATTCGTTGTCATCATATCTGCCCACTTACTATTGACTAGTGTTATTGAGATTTTATTGCTGAATTATTCACAGTGGGAAGTAATCTTTTTACACTCCCAAGTATAATTTAGGTCTATTAATGACAATTTCATCAACAACTATATATATAATTACTGGCTGAACTTTTACAACTTTTACAATTAGGTAAAAGTGCTTTCCTTCTAGCTATTATATTCAAAAGTATGTGCTGATGTAATAGTGTAAAACAATGTAACCATTTATCATTTTTGTTGAAGCCTGACATGAGATTGTTGCAGTAGTGTGTGCTTTTTCATGTAGTCCTTGAACAATGACCTTACTATTATAAGTATATTGTATGTATACTTAGGTCATATTAAATCAAATTCACATCATGTTGAGTAAAATAAGATTGCAGTGGTAAATTTTTTTAAATAAAAAAAAAGCATGTTAAATGAAATTTTGTAAAGTAAGGAATAGATGCACTAGAAGTAGATTTGTGCCAACTTATTTAGGCATAACTCATATTTTATAAATTAGCTTATAAAATATTTTAGCTCTTCTTAGCATATTTCATTCCTATATTTTTCATTTGTTGTCAGAACTAGCAGTATATTCCTTGGAATTTTAGGAATTTTGCTATCATAAATTATATATATTAAAAAGTGACGATTTTCCAATCTCAGATAAAAATCTTCAATATTAACACTTCTTTAATATTTCCTTAGTCAGAGTTGAATTGATGCAGGTCAGGGCTGCTGACTTCATTGCTTCAAGCTCATCCATATATATATATATATATATATATATATATGTATAAATATTTGTTAATTAACTAAAACATTTTGGATAATTAAAAAAAACATAATGACTTGAGTTTTATTAATGCTTTATTTTGTTAGCAATTTTAATTCTACCTGAAACTTTTGAATTTATCTGGGAAGAAAGAAGATAATTTAAATTGAGATTCTATTTTCTTTTCAAAGTAATCCCTTCTCAGAGCATATATGTATATATGGGTGTGCTTAATAATAAATCAGAGAAAAGAAATATGTAGTATAATGATAAGTTAAATCAACAAGATTCATTTCAGGTTGAGAAAGAATTTACTAAAGGCAAGAAAAGAGAGGTAATAGCTTAGGTTTATGTTCCTGTATAATATTTGAATTATTTCAATAACTTTTAATGGGCAGCTTAAATATTTTTGTCTGTATTTATATTATTGGTATATATATTTTTATAATTGTCTGTTGGATTATTGCTTTGAAATTAATTATTCCCCCTCTTCTGTGTAATATACTGTCTTTATTTGAATTGAGCATAACAGTTTCTTTCAATAAATAATTTTTTTTTTTTTTTTTTAAATTTCTAGTATAAAATGTTGAAATTGTTGTTCATAATATTTCATTCTCTTTCAAACCTTCTTAAAAAAAATATTTTCTAAAGAATTTTATCATAAAATAACTTTTTAATAGTAATAAACTGTTGCAAATAAAAATAAATTATGTGTCTAAATTTAAAATTATATTCTAAAACATTTAATAGTTAGTTATTTCAAATTTTTAGTCTTTTAATTTTTTACGTTAGCAGGCTCATGGTATCCGTCCTGGAATGGGTTTTCCTGATCAAATGATGTATCAGCAAGGTCCCCCACAGCAATGGTATGGACAGCAACCCCCAATGCAACAGCCACCATATTATTCACCACAGCAACCATTACCACCTGGTATGCTTTGGTATTTACATATTATAGACTAGAATATATTAGAATTTTAAAATAATTTTAATTTTAATTCAGGAAATTAAATTTGTATTAACTCTACTTTTGCTATTTTAAGCCTGATTATCACATTATACTCAATGTGTCTCATACTTCTTTGAGCTACGATTCCTTTTGATTAGATGAAAGTTTTTGTGATCTTCCTGAATCATTTTCATGACTTCTCAACAGAAGTAAAAGCTTTTTAATTACATAAATCATTTATGCATTTGCCGTTGAAAATTTGCATGAAATTAGGGAGATGCAATAAAAAATAGTGTGTTTACTTGTGTACTTCCCATGTTATTTACTAATTTTACACATTTAAAATAAGGAGGGATAGGTGCATTACGATTTTTGAGGAGAAGGTTTAAATTGAGAATATAATGTATAAAAATGTGCATATACACACATGTACTAATATTTCAAAGTAGTTATTAATTTCAAAAATATTTACAGCATAATCTCCTATTTGTGTATATATGAGTTTTTACCATAAATCAGAAATTTCAAAATTATATGCTGAAGAAGTTAGGGGAATACATTAGGTGGAGAAATACGAGGGCTATCCAGAAAGTAGATTACGTTTTGGAATAAAAAAATAAACAAAGTATAGGAAACAAATTTTATTATATACAGATGAAAGCCACACTCAAATACTACTTTTCTACATAGTCACCATACAAATTAAGGCATTTATCGTATAATGTATAAAAATGTGCATATACACACATGTACTAATATTTCAAAGTAGTTATTAATTTCAAAAATATTTACAGCATAATCTCCTATTTGTGTATATATGAGTTTTTACCATAAATCAGAAATTTCAAAATTATATGCTGAAGAAGTTAGGGGAATACATTAGGTGGAGAAATACGAGGGCTATCCAGAAAGTAGATTACGTTTTGGAATAAAAAAATAAACAAAGTATAGGAAACAAATTTTATTATATACAGATGAAAGCCACACTCAAATACTACTTTTCTACATAGTCACCATACAAATTAAGGCATTTATCGTAGCGATGTACGAGCTTGGAAATTCCTTCGTCGAAAAATTCGGCCGCCTGCGCCTTCAACCACTTTGTTACCTCTTCTTGCAGCTGTGCGTCGTCATCAAAACGCTGCATAGCCAGCCACTTCTTCATTGCTGGGAATAGGTGGAAGTCGCTCGGTGCCAGGTCGGGACTGTACGGCGGATGAGGAAACAACTCCCACTTAAAAGATTCAAGAACTTTACGAGTGACATTTGCCGTGTGGGGCCAGGGCGTTGTCGTGAATCAACAAGATCTTAGAGCTCAACATTCCTCTGCGCTTGTTTTGAATTGCTCTTCTGAGTTTTTGGAGAGTTTGGCAATACCTTTGAGAGTTTATTGTAGTGCCTCTTTCCAGGAAGTCCACCAAAATTACACCTTTTCTGTCCCAAAAAACAGTCGCCATCATCTTCCTTGCCGACATTGTTTGCATGCATTTCTTGGGTTTTTGGGGAGAACTTGTGTGCCCCCACTGCATTGATTGCAATTTCGTTTCACAGTTCACATGTTTCACCCATGTTTCGTCACCAGTAACGATGCGATCGAGTAAAGAGTCACCATCCTTATGGTAAGCGTCCAAAAAGTTCAACGCTGCAGCCATTCGCTGATTTTTGTGGTCCTCTGTCAAGATTTTTGGAATCCATCTTGCACAAAACTTGTGGTAACCAAGCTTTTCGCTGATGATTTCGTGCAACAAACTTCGCGAAAATTTGTGGAAAACTCAAAGAAAGTTCCGTTATTGTGAAATTTCGATTTTCACGGACTTTAGCATCGACTTTTTCGAGAAGTTCGGCGGTCACTATGCTGGGTCTCCCACTTCGATCTTCGTCGTGAACATTGGTTCGGCCATTTTGAAATCTTATGACCCACTGACGCACTCCACCTTCAGTGATAATGTTGTCCCCATACACTTCACGAAGCTGCCGATAGATTTCTATCGGTTTACAGTTTTTTGCAGTCAGAAACCTTATTACTGAGCGCACCTCGCAGCTCGCGGGATTTTCAATTAACGCAGACATTTCAAACTGTCACAGTATCTGAACGGAGCACAGCACGAACCTCTCACTAGCACGGCTAGATGCAGACTGAGCTGCGCAACGCTCTGACCCCAAGATGGCCGCGCTAGCCCCGCCCCTAGCGGACACAGACGGAAACGTAATCTACTTCCTGGATGGCCCTCGTATTTGAGTAAAACGTGGTTTATATGGTTAAATTGGGTTTGAGTAAAATGTGGTCAAAGAAAAAATGTTTTAACTTTATTATAAATGTAGTAAGTTTATCAAAAATTGAAGAGAATTTAAAAGACTTATTAACTCTTTCACCGTTCTCTCCTGTTCACGAAAATTTCTCTCCAGCGGCCCTTTGTTTTTCATAGCTTGTAATGTTGTTTTTCTGTACATACATAACTTTCGTAGTGGATGAATGTAAATGAATATTAAGTAAAATTATAAGGAAATTTCTAAACGAAATATGTAACGAAGCGGCCCTTTGTTTTTCATAGCGTGTAATGTTGTTTTTTCTGTACATACATAACTTTCGTAGTGGATGAATGTAAATGAATATTAAGTAAAATTATAAGGAAATTTCTAAATGAAATATGTAACGAAGCATAATGGAAAAGTATAATATATCTGCTTATTTCTAACAGCAAGATTAATTTGATAACATCTGATCCAGGTGATCCACTCCTCCCATTTTGTTGTTGTAATCTTTTACAATTATTAGTTTTTTTACAGTTCTTTTCCGTGTTTCAACATCAATCATAGAGTTATTATGGACTGTACTCATCAAACGTATATCCTTCTTGTCTTTCCAATTCACAACCTCATTTTTTCTCTTTTTCTGCTGTGTAGACGTTGACGATTTCTCACTGTCTTGTATCTTATGTAAAATGGCACGAATATTCATAAAACCCAGGGGGTAAATTCAATTAGAAATAGAATGCTTGATTAGTACTGCCCTCTAGGAGGTATTAGAACAAACAAAAATAAAATTCAAACAAGTAAACATTTAGAAAGCATTTTAAACGGTTAAAAGTTTTAAAATGTAGTAGAACGCTTGAAGCGCATTACGGCCGCCCTGCAGAATATAACGAAGCATAATGGAAATTTGTTCTATTATGCTTTGTTTCACTTGAACATGCTAGACGCCTTACGGACGACAAAGAGGTTAAAAAAATTTTTAAATACCCTTTAATGTGTATGATACTGGATTAAAAAATAATTAATAACCCTGAAAACCTTTTTAATACGCTAGCTCCAAAAGAAGTACACAGTGTTAAGATAAGAATTCCAGTTATTTAATTTTTTTTTACTGAAAACTAAATAAAATGCTATTCTTTGTTGATGTATTTACTTGATTTCTTATTTACTTGATTCTGTGTTGATGCTTCAGCTTCTATTTTGACAAGCCAATAATCTGTACTATACTCTTACCATATTAAAATCACTGACTCAAAGGCATTTACAAGCCTATAACTATGGGATCCTATTTGTCAAAATCATTTTTCATACTTTATCTAAGGCTTTATTTGTTTGTTCTAAGAGATTTATTCTTAGTTATTGTATGATTCTGTGTAATTGAGAGCAAAGAACACATAAATCTTTCAGAAAAGTTGCAGGAACTTAAAACAGATTTCTCATAAAATTAGTAATATATTCCTTGGCATTGTAGAGGTTTTAATGTAATACCTAAGTAATGATTATAAAAAAGAAAAACAAAAATTCTTAATCTGATGTTTGATTTTATGATGCTTCAGAATTTTATAGCAATATATAAATTTAAAAAAATAATAGCGAGGGATGAGTTTATTCTAGTCCTAAATAGAATTTGAAGTATTCTCAGTTGTGTGGTCCTCTTTCATGTTTCTCTTTTTCATATCCTAAATAAATTCAACATTAACTTCAACATATTCCATCCACACATCTTAAATCAAATCATCCTATAAATCTAGCATATGTGTTCTTTTTATTAATTATTTATTCTTTCTCGTATGATCTCTTAATTTCATGTAGCTGTCAACTTTCATAGTTTTCCATCACATCTCCTGGTCTCCTCATAAATCACAGAGTCTTCCATTTTTTTAATTTTTAATAATGTTGTGTCTTCAATTGTTAAACTAACTAATGATAGAGGGTACTGCTATACTTTCAATATCCAGTGAGAAATGTAGGTGTAGAAGTGCTTCGTGCTTGAAGATAGATGATGTAATAATTACATTAAGAAGTACAAAAGAGAAATAAATTAGTTTTTAGTTTTGCATATTGCATAAATAAATGTTGATGTTCAACTAAATGATGAAATTCTTTCAAAACTTTACTACAGACTAAGGTATCTGGTGGTAATTGCTTAGATCATAGATTGAAACCAGTCTTTATGTTTAAAAATGAAAGGAATGCAGGATGCATTAGTACCAGTCTATTTATGAATATAGTCTTTTTCTGTGAAAATGTTTCATCTTGTTACTGAACTCAACTGATAGTATGACATTCTAAATTTCAGCTTTTGTAATAAAGTCTCAAGTTGGTTAGTAATATTAAGAGTGTTATCTCCAAAATGGGTTATATATAATGTAACTTTGGAATATTTTCATGGATAATAACAAGTTACATATCCTCTCCAAATCAAGTAATACCTACCATCACTTTGGAGGCTAAATGTGGACTCATCCGTAAAGAGAACAACCCTCCACTGATCAGCCATCCAGTAGATATGTTGATGTGCCCACCTCAAATGTTTCCTTCTATGACACTGCATAAGCAGTATGCAAACGGCTGGTCACCTCACGTACAGACCTCCTTTGTGAGGCCTTCTATGCACAGTTGACTTTGACACCAACCTTCTGGTGGCTGCAGCAAGGGAGGATCTGAGTTGAGTCGGAGGTGCTGTTCCATTCCTTCATGCACATAATAACAAATATTGACCATCGGTGCTCATTGTAGCAGTTGGTCATCCTTGGCTGAACCTCTTGGATGCCAGATCTGTGGTCAGAAATTGTTGCCAAAGTCTATGAACCACAGATGGGCATATATTTAGCCATCTAGCCATTTCTGTCTGACTCTGTCGTGCCTTTAGTCTTCCAATAGCTCTCCATCGCAGTTCTTTGGACAAATGATGCCTGGACATCATTGTTACGAATTGGCTATCCCATATTTCTTATCTCAGTATCACAGCAAAATTTACTGGCTTTCTCAAACATGCAGTTTTATGCTTCTTGTAAATGATGCATTCCAATGATGCCATTAACTGCAATTTTACTCAACAACTCTTATTTGACAACATACTCAAATTTTATTTAGATAGGCTTTTTTTTTTTTTTTTTTTTTTTTTTTTAATGAGTTATTGCTCTTTGTGATTTTTCCTTAATTTTAGGAAACCAATATATATTCCCATTTTGTAATTTAAACTTGCTTAAATATATGAATTCAATGTTTGAATTGTTTATTGCTAGATTTTGAATTTTTTCTTTTTTTTATTTTTTCTTTTGAGCTTTAACTGTTGATACAGTTTAAACAAAGGTTATTTTTCACTTATTTGATGTGCAATCTTTCAGCTAATTTATATGTTGTCTACTACTTTGTAAAAGGTGTACCTTCTAGTTTATTAGAAATAGATGTAAAAAGAAAATCTTTAAACATAATATCTTATCACAATATGCATAATATATCTTCTGTTGATAATTCATATCAGTTTAAAGAATGTTAAAAATATTTCTCGTAAACCTGATATCATACTATATCAACATATATCAAACTTGAAATTATAATTGTATCCCTGTTCTTGTAATACTGATATTACTAAAGCTATGACTGTGATATTATTGTATATTCTTTAATAAAAGTGCATTTTTTTAACTCAGAATGCAATTATATAAATAAATATTTCGTTATGTTTTAAAGAATGCTGTCTTATTTTATTTTTAAAGCAAGTGGTCCAAGATTTGAACGTCCGCTTTCACAGTCCAAGCAAGCTCTTAGCACCATGCTTCGGGCCCGACATCCATCTACTCAGTTTCTTCCTAGTGGCAATACTCAACATCAGGCTGGTGGTGTTAGTGCTGCTGGTGGTCCAGGTGGTACAATGCCAGGCAGTATGGGTGGAAGTCATCTTGGAGGACCTGGAGCAGGAGGTCCTATGCCTGGACATCCTGGTAATCATCCTGGAGGTAGTGGACCTGCAGGTTTTTCCATGGAAATGATGCAAAAGCGGCAACAAATGATGATACGTCAACAGTTACGACCACAAGGGATGCCTGTATGTGTTCAGTAACCCATTCCTGTTGATATTTCATATTACCAAATTTTCAGCTTCATTCATATTTGCATATATCCTATCATATTTTTCAATGTCTGCCATATTTTTAGTTCCTGTCATATTTTCACACTAATGCTTTTGACTCCTATAATATTTCATCAACCATTGTTTTTAAATATGTGATATAAGTATTTTAAAATAAATAAAAGGAATATTTGAAATCTTAAACCTTTCTTATATAAATCTAATCAGTATATTAAATTTCCAATATCAAATAGTAAAATCTCATTTTGATAAATTAAAGAAATTGTTTTTGAATGTAGTTGAACAAAAAAATATGAAGCATAACATTTTAATAAACTAATGGCTATATATTTTTTTTAATTGATGATTTTGCAACTAAGCTTCATTTATATTATGCCAAGTTTTGAAACACACACTCAGTTTTTAATGCAAAATGTGTATTCATCAATCAGTGTATGAATAAGTACTTATCATGGGAAAAGATTATAATTATAATATAAATTGAGTTCAAATTTCTGCAAATAGACTGGCTTCCTAAGTGTTTTTATGATTTTCCCAATGTGTATCGTAAATATGAGCAAAACTATTAGAACGTTTAAAAATGCATGTATCTGCTGCACATTACAATGAATCCTGTTTTTACTTTTTGAAATTTTGTGGTGAAAATTTCATTAGTTAGTTCTTTTAATGTTCTTGTTTTGTAAAACTTCAGTTTGTTAATAGATTGTTAAATTTTAACTAGCCAGGAGATATTTTTCCTTCTGTATTATAGTTTTAATCAGAAACTGCTGTAATATTTTTTTAAAAAAATTAAGCATTTTAAAACTCCATTTTTGTAATTTATTTACCAAAGTGTTGTAGTCATGATAAGGAAGCTAGAAGACTAATTCTAAATACAGGTTGCCGTTTGATTGTATCTTCCTGAAGCTTACAGGCTTTTTTGTATTTTTGGATGTATTACTGATGAAGGATAAGTGTGGATAGATCTTAAAAGTTCTGGTTATTTTCAGGGTGGCCCAGGTGGACCAATGTATCCACATGGCATGCAAGGAAACACAGCACAAACTGCTCCATTACATCATTTACCCCCACAAGGTAAGGAAATGATATAATATTCAGTAATTCTTTGTAAGTTTGTGTTGTAAGCAAACTAATTTCTAAATTTTAAAATTGATTGTAAGCAAACTAATTTCTTTTAACAGCTTTTAAAAAAATTTTAAAAATAAATAAAAAAAAGACACACTTTGTGACAAATGTGATATTTCAAGTAGCCACAAAGTACTGCAAAAATTTTAATATTAAAAAATTTTCCATATACAGGTATGAACCAGGGATATGGTAACTATAGTGGCTCTAACATGCAACCAAATGCTAGTATGATGGAATCTAGAAATTCCTCAATGCTTCCAACTAGTTTTAATCAATCATATGCCAGCCCACAGCCTGGACCTGGAATTATGGGGCCTAGCAGCATACGCAACCAACAAGGGCAATATATGCCACAACCTAATAGGTGAGCTAATTTGATTGATTTTTAGTATCTGTTATGAAATTTTAATGCATTATTTTTTAAAAGCTGGTTAAAAATCTTCGGCTTTAGATCTGTTGTAACTATCAGATACAATACAAATTAGGTATCCAAAATTATTTACTACAAAGCAACCTGTCTAAAAAAATTAAAGTAACAGAATATAAAAATATTCTTGTATCTAAAAAAAAAATAATAATAATGGTATGTAGCAAGTAAAGGGTGCTTTGTTTCAGGAAGTAGAGGCTAGAGTTATTTTAAAAGACAAAATTTGTTACTTCGGAATGAAAAAAAGCATGCTGAATTTCATATAAAGCCAGAAAGGATTAAATAATCTTTCGATGTTCTTATTTGAAGTACTGCAGGTGTTACTACTTTACAAATTATGAGAGGTCTAAAATCATTTTTCAGTTTAAATCCAGATGGGTCGGTAAAGAAAATTTAGCTTCTGTTAGTGTTTCTGCAGTCATGACAATCTCTACACTGTTTAAACTAAATACTTTCACAGTTTGAGTTAGCTAGAGAAAAATCATTGATGTTATTCAGTATATATTTCTTATAAGAAGCCTATTACAGTCTATTAAGATATTCAAGATTCTGTATCTGTAACAAATTCTTATGCAATCTGTGAAGCAGTCATTCACCCTTTTTCTTTTGGCATTCTAAACCAAATAAGTGATTATGAGAAACAATCATATATTTTTGATTTCCCCCCCTAAACATCAAGATGTATTATCTGTGCCTGAACCTTTCCAGATGCTGGAAAGCTCATTTTTGAGTATTTTTAGGTCTTTATGTGCCTGACTTATATATCCTTCAGTCTCTCAGGCATATACTATTTTTCATAGTTAAACAAATGCATCCTGGAAGTCGTATTTCACCATCTACACACAAGTTATATGATATAAGTGCAATGATTTACATAATGCTATATAGCAGGGGTGGCCAACCTGCGGCTCTTTGAAGGATTATTTGTGGCTCTTGATAATTGTACCCGAGTTCCCTTTTCATTGCTGTGTATTCATATTTTAAACAATTATCATTCCATATGTGTTTCAAAATGTCTTTTAAATTACTGACAACAAATATGAAAGACTAAATGCAATGTTGTAACAAATTTCATTTCCATCCAAGTTAAGAATTATATAACTCATTGAAAACTGTGCGAAATGAACATAAACAGGGGCATAACAGTTTTGTTCGCTAGATTTTCTTCCCTTTTGATTGAAAAACATACAGGAGTCAATGCCTTGTCCGGCCGATTGCTTCTCGACGAATGACGATCAATTAAATCGACCGACTACTGACCAATTTTGAATTTGTAAAGTTTCATTGCAAGGGACAGTTGGCATTTTGCTCTGAAGGAAACAATTTGTATCATTCTTGCTATGGATATAATTTGTAATCTGGAATTTTTGGTAAGTTAACTTTAATTTGTTTCGTAGTATGTAACACGTGTTGTTATTGTTGTAATAACACAGAACTTGTATTTTCTAGATTTATTTATTTCCAGTTCTTTTAAAAATATGACGACAGAGAACGAAAATATAAAAAAGAAAATATGAGCAAGAAAATAGAAGTTTTAATAATGAGTGGGAGGAGAATTTCTTTTTCTTGGCTATTATGGAAAAGCATTATGTGTTATTTATAATTCTGCGGTCAAAAATTATAAAGCTAACAATTAATGTCAACATTATGAAACAGTCATCTTCAGTTTTCTAATCAGTATCCACCAAATTAAGATCAGATAAACTTGCTTCTGTAAAATCAAATTTAAATACACAACGGTCAATACCTTTAGCAATCAAGCTAATAATGTTACTGAAGCCAGTTTTTTTATTGCCTGGAATATTGCTCGTGCAAAATGCCTGTATGGAGAGGGAGAGTTTATTAAAAAAACTTGGAAGATGTACTTAAAGTTTTAGATCCAAATAATGCAGCATTGCACAATGTTTCGCAAATTCCCATCTCGAGATACACAACCGAACGACGCATAACTGCAATTAACACATCTCTTGAATATAATTTAAAAAATGATTATATTCAGGCTTATTGACTGTATTGCATTCAGCTTAGCCCTTGACAAATCGACAGGTATCACAGATCTTCCGCAATTGGCAGTTTTCATACATTTTGTTTCACCTGACTTTGTTGTTAAAGAATTATTAGATTTAGTGGCACTTTAAGAGTCAACTCGCAGTGTCAATATTAAAAATGCATTACATTCCATAATAAAAACTTTTGATGTGCCTCTTAATAAACTTGCAAGCATTGGAACTAATGGAGCTCCGGCAATGCTTAGTAAAAAAATCGGTCTTATTGGGCTTTTAAGAGATAATTCTCTAATTCCACAATTCATACCGATTCACTGCATAATTCACCAAGAGCATCTCGTTACAAAATATTAAAAATATCTTGATGTTATGAATCCTGATGTTATGAAATTCTGATGTTATGTTTCTATTATTGACAATTCAAAAATTTCCTTGAAGAATTAAAGGATGAATAACTTCCAAATGACATTAATTTCTTTTCCACTGTTAGATGGGTATTTAGCTACAACATATTAAATCGATTTGTAGATTTGTTTAATCCAATAACTGCATTTCTAAAAGAGAAGGAAATAACCTATTCAGAATTAGATGATGATGAGTGGTTACAAGACTTAATGTTTTTGACTGATGTCATGGAACATTTGCAAACACTGAATTTGCAATTGCAGTGGAAAGGTAAAATAATATCTGACCTCTCACAGTGTACATTTAGTTTTCAAACTACATTAAAACTTTTTCAAAAGGACATTTTATCATTTTCCTCGAATTAAAAAAATTTGTTCCAATATCAAACAAGAAAAACTCAAAAAAATATATAAAAAAGCTAGAAGGAATATTGACGGAATTCCAAAATAGATTTCAAGACTTGAAATATTTTAAATCGTCTCTTGATTGTTTTCTGAATCCATTTGAAATTAACATAATTCAAGGTGAGTTTTCCAAACCCAAAAAGCATGTGGAGATTTAGAATTAATAGAGATGCAAGAAGATCAAGCTTTACAATTAAAATATAAGTCGGCGCCAATTACTGAATTTTGGAAATTTGTACCAGAATCGAAGTATTTTGAATTAAAAACGGCTGCTTGTCAAATTATTTCAATATTCAGAACAATGTACTTATGTGAATCATTTATTCCACTTTAAAATTCATAAAATCCAAACACCAATCAATATTAACTAACCATCATCTCAAAGAATTACTGAGAAGTGTTGTCACCAATTATTCACCAAATTTTAAAGAATTATCAAGAGAAATAAAATAAATGTGTTTAATTTTTAATATTTAAATTCAATACACATATTGTGTACTTTTATTTATATGTACTTTTATTTCATATATTTCCAGCACGAAGAAAAATATTTTACTCCCCACTGAGATATAAGTGCATTCTTGTGTTCTCCCAAATTGAAAATATATTAAAAAATATTAATTTTTGTTTCATCTTTCTTCTGAACCATATAACAGCTAGTAGAGGCAGACTAATAGCCTCAATGGTAGGTTGAGGGTTTGAATCCCATGTAAGGTTTGGTTATTTATACGTTTGTACACTTTCCCTCAAATCATCAAACCATCCTTAGTGGTATACAGTCAAAAGTCGTTAATCCGGACTCGTCGGGACTTCGGCGATTCCAGATTATCGATTTTTCTGGATTATAGATCATCAGTTTAAATCTGGTAAGATGGCATGCAGAAATTATAAAATTAAAAATATGAAACCGTAATTTATGAAATAAAGAACAATTATGATCTAAAGGGTATCAAAATTTACAAAAAAAAAAAAGCTTAATATTTATTTGTTTACTTTATTAAACATTTCTTTCAATGTAAGTTGTTTTAAGTTGCTTCGTTTTTTTGTTTTATGTGATAATACATTCTCTTTAATTCTTTAAACAGACATAATTTCTTGTTCAGTTACAAAGTTCTGCTGTTCAAGTCCTATAATTGCTGTGTCGAGAATACCGACTAATTTGTCAATTGAAATTTTTTCGTTTCCAATAACCTCTGTCACTTTCTTTGCTATCGGAAGCGAATTATAATGACGAGGAATTTGTTTAAATCATATCAAAGATGGAGTACATCGAGATGAAATACTACATTTAATAAGGAATTATAAGCCAAATAAAATAAAAACATCTGCCCTGAAGATAAGGATAGTGCTGACAGATCAACTTCCAATTCATTGCGCGGCACAGTGGCGTTAAAGATAAACAAAGTTTAGATAAACAAAGGATATGCCTTTATCCATTTTTTGTAGCAATTCCACTTTTTGTTTAATGAACTTCGAAACATACTTTCGCTTTGTAGATCATTTACATATTAATAAATATATATCAGAAATTCTATTTCAAGCTTACTTTTAATAAATTGCTTTAACAGTCTGCAAAAAATAATAAGCCGGGTCCAATTCGAAGATTAAGGAACAACGCAATCTGCAACATTAACTGAAATAGATAATTAAATAATTTTAGCTTAGCTTACACCGTCCGTTATACATTAAACGCGCACTCGTAAACGTATTTTGCGCACGCACACAAGGAGACGCATGCGCAGAAAGTTTGAAGCTTTGAGGTCCAGATTATAGATCATTCCGGATTATGGGTGTCCAAATTAACGACTTTTGATGTATCCTGTATTGATGAAATGATTATCTGACTGAACAGTTTGATTATTCTTGACAAAGGCATGAGAAATATGTGTCTGGTCATTTGGGGGGGAAGAGAGAGCAAGAAAATGCAAAACTACCTTATTACCTCTGTAACATATCTTATTATAGTGAACTTGCATTGCATTTCTTTAATTATTTCACTTAATGTTTTTATTTTTCATTAATTTATTATTAGTTTACTCCTTTTCATTTTAATTTTCATGATATTTTAATTATATTTACTTAATAATTATTAATTTTCATTAATTTATATTTTATTTAATTATTATTTCGTGCTTTATTTATTATTTTACTTATTTATTTTTTTGTCGGCATTCTATAGCATTCCAACACTTTTTAGCTACAGTGTCCGGGGGGGGGAACTCTCCCAATAGCAGGCTCTATCGATTCACAGGTGCTGACTACTACAAAGGCTCGAAACTGTGGTCTTTATTATGCAAGCATCTAATAAGTTCGCTATTGTTGCCTCCTATGAAAAAATGGACAAATAAGATCCGTGCCTTCTCCGAAATTCGAACCCGGGTCCTTCAGTGCTGCAGTCAAAATCACTAACCACTTTCCTGCCTGGGTGCCCCCGTATTAGAACATATTTAGAGCTTTTCACATATGAGCAATAAAGAATAAACTTTATAAATATACTACAATAAAATATTAAATGAATATATAAATTACATATATGTCTTTGTAAAACAAAGGCTGCCTTGATCAGTCTGCTCATTACACAGATAAACTTACATAAAATTGATAAATTTAAGTAAAAGTAAAAAGAAAATATAGGCACAATTAAGCATGGACATTTCCTGAATGATTTTATAAATTACAATTAAAAAATCTTATGAATAACTTATAAAGGAAATGGTGTTTTTTTTAATGATTATTTCAATCAAAAAGCGCAATTACAGATCACACACACCCAAAAAAAAAAAAAAAAAAAATTACCCTCCAAGCAGAATACATATAAAAAAATGTGAAACCAATTAACTATATTGTAAAATTGTAGTATGTCCAAAAAAATAAGCAAAGAGCTTGATTCTATTAAGTGCAAATCTGCGAATTTTCTTAGATGCAAAAAAATTTCTATGAGAAGTCAATTAACCATATTGTGAAACTGTAATATGTTGCCCCCCCCAAAAAAAAAGCAAAGAGCTTGATTCTAATAATAAGTGCAAATGTGGGATTTTTTGTAGATGCCAATAAATAAATAAATAAAATAAAAAAATAAAAATCTATTTCCTAATTCCAGGTTATCCAAAATTTTATTAAATATATCTAACACTAGCCGTATGAATTATTTAAACTGGACGTTCTCAATTTTTTCTCTTGAAATTTAAAATAAACTTTCATGTAAATTTATATCATTTATAAATACCATCACTATTCACAACATAAGTAAAATTTAAAAGATTGAGTTGGTGATTTTGCCAATATCAGCAGTAACTGTACAGTGTTCGATGTTTATCTGGTACTAGAATTAATTAACTTTTTTTCTTTTCTGATTATACTTGGAAACATATTATAGTGCAATATACATCAACTGAATAAAACAAAATTATAGAATATAAACTGTTTGCAAATGTTATCTGAAAAAATTTCCATTTCGGACCTGATCTGATGAATTTAGGATTTTTATTGGGTGTATTTCATTATTTTACATGCTGTTCAATATTTAACAGTATATTATTATGTAAATACTTTATAATGAACTTTTGAATACATTAGTAGATCACTAGTAGTCTCCATTACAATGACTTGCATCCAATAGTAGACCTTTATTTTTGATGAAAATATCAAGAACAAAGTTTATCAAAAGTTCAAATTTTTAAGAAATAAAAATCTTACCTTTTCAGTGGATCTCTTTTTCTTCTAATCTAGTGCCAAAATCTGGAAATATTTTATTAACTGAAGATATTTTAAGATAATATTCATCACAAAAAAGGGCTCATCTACAATAACAACATATTTTATGAACAGCACATTACTAACTAATTATATATACAATACACAGAAGAGAAGTTATGGAATACGTTTTTTCGTTACTACATCCATTACTAGTTCTATATTTAACAGTTCTATTTTTAGATGATGCGCATGTGCGGATCATGTGATGTGAATCATTTGGCAAAAGTTTGACCAATTTTTTTTATGTAGTACTCAAATTAAATATTTTAAATTACTTATCATTTTAATATGTAATAATTTACAAAACAAATTTTTGACTTTTAATGATAAAAAAAAACTTTTAAATAAATAATGTTAAATTTTGAAATAGAAAGATTTATTAAGATGTGAGTTTAAGTTATTGTGAAAACATTCATTAGACTGTTTTTGTTTAATTTTGTTTTAGGCCTCAATATGGCATGGGGCAAGGAAATATGCAAGCTCCTAATGTTACGATCAATACAATGAGTGGTGGTTCTCATTTACCTGTGTCTGGTTCTCAAATGGTACAAAATAGTGGAAGTAATTATGGCAGTCAATCAAATCCACAGTCAATATCTGCCATGTCTGGTGGACCTTCAAGTCAAATGCAACACATGCAGCAATTATGCCATCAGCAACAGCTGATGGCCATGCAGAAGCAACAACATCAACAGCAGCATCAGCAGCAACAACATCAACAGCAGCAGCAGCAACAACAGCAACAGCAACAGACTGCTGCATTAGTAGCACACTTAAGACATATGAATTCTAGTAACCAAGGCACCCCTCATCCTCAACAACAGCATCATCCATATCATCAACCTGGTCCCTACTAAAAATGTTTTGATCCACATTAAAAATTTTTAAGAAGAAAGAGATTCATATAGAATGATGTTAAGATAATGTGCTTAAAGTTATTAGGTCTTAAAAAATATTGTTTGCAAGCCAAGAAAAGAAATACTACTTTTCAAGCTAATTTTGGTTCTTTATTCCATTTTCAAAAAAAGAAAAAGAAATAGGTGTGTTGGAGATGTGAACAATCTAAGTTACTGAATTTTAGCTGTTCCTGGAAGACTTACATTAAGAAATTTGCTCTATAATTTATTATAAGTGGCATCTGAACTAAAATTATAGAGCAAATTATGTATTATTTAATGTGAATGAATTAAGTTTTCTATATTGTATTTTTGTGTCATTATTCTTTGTTTCAAGAATTTGATTTATTAAAAAAATACAAAATGAATTAAGTAGAAAATATTATTATATTCATTCGACAGAATTTAGTAAACTTTCTTGCTGAAGCTGAAACTAAAAATATGCAGTGATATGTGCTCATAAAAAAAGTATTTTCATTTATCATATATATATTTGTAAATACTCATGGCAGAAGATCACATTAATAACTAAATCAATAAAACTGTTTATGTAATTCTGTGAAAAGATCTGTCTAGTAATTTTATTTTATGTTGTATGTTTTTAATTTAAGTAAAATGTAAAGAGTAAGTGATATTAATATGGGTTACTTTTTTGTTTTTATCTAGTTGTGTATTGAATTAAAAGTTTTGCATCCTATGTTCTTATATGATAATTCACCCCCATCAAAAATTTCCAGCCGTCCCACAAAAAAAAAAAAAAAAAAACAGTTTATTTTTAAAACTTATTAAATATACAACAGCATTTTAAAAATTACTGAAAGGAAATAATAGTATGAAATACTTTATTATTACTGTTATTAAACCCAATTTAAATGTTATTAATTTCCTTGGGGAAAAATTACTTGTTTTTTAAGATAATATCAAGTTTGCAGAAGATATTTTCCTTGATTAACATGATATAGAATGATATCATAATTAAAATACATATATTGTGAACTTTTCTGTTGTATATAATTTTAATCTGTATTTTTGCATAATAGGGTTATAAGCAAACTAACACATTTGTGTATAAAGTTCAAGAAATCATGTTTATATCGATTTTGATTTCTGTGTCATGGGAAATAATCCCCCCTTCCAAATTTTGATACTTCCCTGGCTCATTTATAAATTATTTACCAGTTTAGGCATGACAACTTTTACAGTATGGTTTGGTTTACTCATATGTTGTCTTTTGTATTTATACCCTCAAAATTCGGTCTTCAGTTACAAAACATGTGTCTGAATTCATCAAACATACATACTATTTTAACATAATACTAAAAATATTCATTATAATTTTAATCAGATGCATTTCTATGACATAATTCTGTTATGCATTTTGTGTGAAATTTGTGATACTATTAATTTTTACATTTATATGAATTTTTCAGAAAAAAAATGTAAGTTTTTTTGAGGAAAAAATATTTAATTCAGTGGTTCTGAACCTGTTTTCCTCCGTGCATTAAACAGCTAAATAAAAGACTTCCATCCCTTCCTGAAATTACGAAATTCTTCCTTGCAGGGAAATTTCCCCTTGTTTGAGAACCTCCAATTTAGTCATAAGAATTGTTTTCATAGACTGTGTTTCTATGCCCCCCACACACTTTCTTATATCAGTTTTCTTAATGCTAAAACATAACACAGGTGTTTTAAATACTTCTTCAAATAATTTGTGATCAGCTAATCAAGATTTGGCTGTTGTTACTTATTTTAAAAAAAGTTTCATATTAATGTCATTATTTGAAATGCACTGATGAATTATCCTTCTACATGATAAGAATATTACTGAGTTTTATTATAAATTGGCAATCAAGATAAATCCAAGGTAATCTATCTTGTTTTATGTTTCAGAATGGATAGGGAGGAAAAGCTTTATTAGTTTATTTATAAATTAGATTTTCTTTAAGGATTAATTATATTCAAATATATTATTTAAAGCTTTAAATTTAATATAATTTGTATTCCATGAATCCAATATGATGTGAAAAATTTTTTAGATAACAAAATTTAGTGGTTTCATTAAAAACCTTTTTTTTTTTTTTTTTTAATTTCTGTATTCATTTTCATGTTTAGATTATATTGAAATTTCTATGCTCTGGTTTTTGTATTTAGTTCTTGAAACATTGGAAGTATTTATGGGACCATAATTAAAGTGTAATTGTTGATTTTATGCATTTTTATTTTTTTGTGTGTGTTTTGAAATCACATGTTAAATTTAAGTTATGTAATATTTATTTTATGAAGTTTTAGATTTAGTATCATTCTACTTTTACTCTTTAAGTATTATAAACAATTAATTTACTGTATAACTGAAAAGAATGTATGTGTACATTTTATATATTAAGGCCAATGTTAGTTGGGTGCATTTTTTTGTATGCAGTGATAAGCCTAGTGCAGGCAGAAGAAATTAGAGGCAACCGATTTTTTTATAATTTAGATATAGCAAAATTTTTAGAATTTACAGATGATGAAATTTTAAGAATTTATGGAAACAATGGGAAGCCTAATTGTAGTGGGTGACAAAATGCTTAGCACCAGCCCTGTGTATTAATTTCAGTTTTTGTTTTTAATCAGCTTTGATTATCGTATCATTTTGAATTTTTTACTAAACAAACTTGTGCATAAAATTTAATTTGATCTACTAAAAATGTTTGATTTTTTGTACTTCTTATTTGATAACACATGTAATAAATATGTAAGAAATTTTTTGCATAGTTTTTTTATGAAAGTAGATATCAGTATCTGGTATATCCATAATATGTACTGTTTTAGGATAAAGGCTCATCTCCAAGCCATTAAACATCCCTACATAAAAGCATTCAGATCACCTTATATTTGGGGTAAACGTGCACAAGTAAATCAGATCAAGATTATGTGTGTGAAATTTTATAACATTATTTATTTAATTAATGTATATGTTCCAATAAGATTGTAATTTATTTAAAGTTTTATGTGTTTTAGGACTGAAAGTGAAAACTAGCAAATTAAATCTTATCTTTATTTTCAACTATTGTTTATTTTAGTTATTGTTCTGGTGGTGGGAGAAAAGCAATAGAATGCTAAGTAAATACTGAATTGCTGTAGAGGTGTGCTCAGAACTAAAATGCTATTTTTAGGCATAAATCTTTATACAAATACACATACATATTTTTTTACATGTATGGATTCAGTCACAAAACATGCAGAAATGTTCTTTATTTCTTAAAACTTTAAATGTATTAAAAATTTAAATTATATCTCCTTTTTTAGAAAAATAACAAATATTTGATTAGAAAAAAAGGAATATATTTGTAATGTGTGCAAAAATACTTTATAAGCATGATATCATTACAGAAATGCATTTTTATTTATTTAAACTGAAAATTTAAATCATGTTTATAGTCTGTTGCTTTAAACTATTCACTTTTAAGGTTCTAATAACCAACCTCTCATTAATGATTGTATAATGCATTGTCATTATTGCTTAAAGGATTTAGGAATTTGTAACAAACTGGAGGACTCTACCCTCTATGCAGCATTCGTTACCCTAGTTATGAAGCAAGCCAGGAGGGAAAAAAATTGTCTTAAATTGTCAATTTTAAAGGAATAGATTATAGTATTATTCTGTATTTATAAAATATGTAAAGTTTATTTTCTAATTAAATCCTTCATTAGTGATACTTTTAATCAGTTGAGCTATTTTGAGAACTGTCAACGCATTTAAAAGTCTCATCATTTTAGAGGTTAATAAAGTTACCCTAAATTCTGGCAGAACAGTTCTTGCAATTTAAAACAGAATTAGATGATCAGAATTTTTTGACATTTTTATACTGAATTTTGAATACCAAAATTTAATACATTTAAACTTTGTAATATTTCTACTTAATATCTAATAATTTAGTTATTGAAAAGAATGCCATAAATTCAGCATTTGTCGAATTTAATTGAAATGTTAGATGGTGAAATTGCCATCTATTTCCATGAGACAGAGTGTTCTTAAAAGTTGGCTACAGGCTTTGTTTCTGAAGCTCTTAATCCTAGGCATGTACATTCAATTATAAAAATTCTGTAAATAAATTAGCAAATTTTATGAGATCAGTTTCAGAGATAGAGAGGAATGGTTTTCAAATATAAACTAGTAGCATTTATATGGTCTTTACATAGTGAAATATATTTTAGGCCTTTACTGCCAAGTTGTACTGTTACATGCAAAATTCTATAATATGTAAACAATTAATTTTGGGGGTATAGTTAAAACTTTACTAAAGCTGTTTTTTTTTTTTTTTTTTTTTTTTTTTTCTGTTTGTTTTTTTTTTAATTGCTTCCTGATATATAGATTAAACTAAAGAAGTATTTAATTTTAATCATTATTATCCTTTGAAAACTAGTCAAAACCGGTAAGTATTTTTTGTAATACCTTCTTGAATTTTGAACATAAAAAAAAATGAAATATTTTTATTTAATTTTACTAAAGTATTACAAATACTTAAAAATTTTGACTTTCTGCTCTAGGGAGATTGTGTATTCCCCCCCCCCTCCAAATTGAAAATTCTATTCATAGGGGTGAAATTTTTCTCATAACGTTTTCTATTTAGAGAAGTTTTGTTAATTAAAGTATATGCCTAGGATCAGTAGTTAAGTGTATAAGGCCTATATCCATTTTTCATGAACATCCATATAATTTGTGATGCAAAATGTAGAGTGCATTCAAAAATACCATACTATATATTTTCCTGTAAACTACAGACTCATTAAAAGTCCTATGTTAAGTAAAAAGTATTTTTTCTGTGAAATGCCTTTTTTTAATTTATTTATTTTTTGTGATTTGAAAAAAAAAATAAATATCATAATTTTAATAGTTACCTTTTAATTTGTGAATTTTATATTTAAGTTTGCATCTATACTTTTAGTTGTTATAAAAGTTTTTTTATATAACACATTGTTTTGTTTTTTTCCCCAGGAAATGGGAAAATAATTGTTTAACTCATTTATAAAAACAATTCTGTTCCATTTTTAAAGCTGTTATAATGATTAAATATTTTATTTATCTTACTTAGAAAACTTACTTAACCTATTTTGACAAAATTATTTTGCAGGCATATGTTCTTTTTCCTGTCTAAAAATTTTTATGTACATTTTTAACATGGTATTGTATACTGCTGTTTCTTTGTTTTGGAAGTGTAAAAATAAGTTTTATAATAGTAATTATCTTTTTTATCTGTATGTTTTTAGTTTTTGTCATTAAAACTATTTATTATCCTTTCTCTTTTAATTTATGTGCTTTTTCACATAACCACTAACTTAAGGACTTCAAATGAGATAGCACGAAAAAAGTTTATTCAGAAAATACAAAATCTTTTTAATAGTACAGATTAAGTATCCTTTATCCCAAATGCTTGGGATCAGAAACTATTTTGTATCATAGAGAATTTATATGTACATAAAGAATTTATGATGTGCAGCTGAAGTGTAAGTACCGAATTGTTTGTTTTCATATAGGTCTTATAGTTTAAAGATAATTTTAATAATTGGATAGGTTCATACACAATAAATATATTTTTAATAATTCTGAATGAAAGTTTGTGTGCATTTCATCATCAGAAAGTCATTATTTCAGTCACATGTGTAGAAAGTTAGTAGTTATTCAATATCAGTATTATACTATGAATTTATATGTTTACTGTTATTTTAGAATGTTCATATTTTATATGCTTATATTTAAATACTAAAAAACAATTATTAATCAGTTAAGTAACATTGGTCAGGTAAAGTATGAAATTTCTTAGTTGTAATTTCATGGAGGCATTCAAAGATTTCAGATGTGTTTTTGTAATTAGAGATGCGTAGCTGGTACATAAAAGATAGAAAAATTAACATTTTCTTTTATCATTCATGTATAAATTTACAGGTTGAAAGTGAAGAACTTAGTGCATTATATGATATTGCCAAGTTGTGACTCAGGCATTTTTTAGAGTATAATAAAAGAGAAAGCTAGGCAGGCTTTTGTTTTAAGGACACTTTGGTTCAAGCTATCTGTATTGATTTTAAAATTTATATGTACCAGCCATTCATGATTATTAGTAGTTTTTCTCACTGTTTGTATTTGAAAAAATCATTACTTATTCTATTCCTTATTATATTTAGAATGGAGGGCGGGGAAATATAATTTCATTGAAAAGTTAGCTGGTATAAATTTTTAAAATCCTGATATTGGTGAACATGTAGATTGTACAATGTACAAGTTTTCTCAATCGCATGCGAAGGAAAGGTGATGTAGAAGCGCATATAAAATGTAATGTAAGCAGTAAAAGGAGCACTTTGCCTTCTATTATTACTGCTTATTTTGAATCAAGATGTTAGCAACAGACTTTAAATATACTGCTAAGGAACTGTATTTAGTTACTATTCTGTGATGCATGAAATCAGACCATACATCTAAATTGATTAAAAAGTTATTGAAATCAAAATTTTTGTCTGCATGCTTTAAAAATGAAGTGATAGTTACACGTATGATGTTGCCATTAATTTTCAGTGAAAGGTTAAATGCTTTGTAAACCATCAATTGTATGAACTGTAATGACTGATGGTTCAAATCACAAAGACATAAAATTAGTTTCAGTTCTTTACTTTAGATCATGGCATTCAGAGGCAACTTTTGAAGAAGTATCCAGACTCTTCAAAACATTTTGTGTGATTGTCTTTTGAAAAATGTTTAGAAATAACCTCTTGACAAAAAGGTAATAAGGTAACAAACTACAGGAACTTACTTATACTAATTGGAGGCAACCTAAGGTATTTTTTAAATGGGAAACGAAACTACTTGAATACTTACAATAAAATTTAATACTTCTATATAAGGCAAATTCCAGTTTAAACACAGTCACACCTGAGAATAATTATGTATAAGGTTTTGGCTAACTTAGGGTTTTTGAATTGCCTAAACTTTCCTTGAACATACACACATCATCACTCATTTTCTAGTTCTATGACATAATTTCAGTAACTTACAAGAGATAAAAGTTCACCCAAAGATTTATTTGTGATTGCTAATAGTTATTGCAAACTGACAATCAAAATTAACAAAATGATCTACTGCCACTTGTGTTAAATTTAAGTATTGTTGTGTGCGATCGAGTTCGTAAAAGAATGAATGCACAAGTCCTATAAAAGGTTAATAAAATGTATTCTTATCAAAAGAAATATAATAAAATGCAGGAATTTTCCTCAGAGATATTCGTACAAGTGTTCACAATAACAGAGTAATAATCAGTAGAGCATAAATAAGTTAAATAGAACACAATTTACAGCATATTTTAAGAGAAAGCTAATCCAATCTCACCGTGAATTCTTAACAATAACAACTGAGCTAGGATGTCTCTCTCTGGCTTTAAACAATTTTTAAACGGCCTCACAAGATAGTTCCAGCATTTTCTGCTTTTCAAGACTTCTGGAAAGCAATAATAGGATAAAATTAGGGTCACAACTAACATAGTAGTCAATTACATTTATTCAAATTAAATATAAATTTCCGAAATAAACTTTTATTCAATGAAAAATGCACATGCTCCTATATTTTTACTTTTCTGGCATAGCTTTCTCTTAAAATTCATCTCGTGCTGCATTGCACAGCGATAACAGAAGGATAATTGCCATCCTCACAATAGCTGTTGAATATTATTTGTATATAAGACTTTTTCTAAATACAATTTGATTTAAAGCAATAAACTAAAAATAGGTGAGTAAAAAAATATTACAGTACTTTCTCCAGAACAGAAACTAGAGTAATGAAACAAACTTCAAGAACATCGACAATTTTGGCAACAGACAAAAGAGTATTTTAGAATGTTGGAAATAAGGTTTTATTTAAAAAATAAATACAGAACTTTTATTTACTCCTCTATATGCCGTTTTGAAATTTAATAGATCTTTTCATACACAAATGGATTACCCTAGGCAGAAAAGCTCCAGCTTTGCCATTGATTGATAGGAATTTTAGGACTGAATAAAACTTCTTCCCACTGTAATCAAACAAAAGTAATTAAGTAATGGAAATGTAATAAATAATAACATAATGAATGGGTATAATGATGAAAAATGTAATGCTTCAAACAAAAGTTATATTTTTCTTGCTGTCTTCAATTTTACCATTACATGAATTGTTTAAATAAACTATATACCAGTAACATTTATACAAAAAAACTAATTAATTTTTTTTTCTTTGATAGTGATTAAATTATAAATGCATAAGAGCAAAAGTAATATAAATTTTGAAATTCACTTTTAAATTTATTCCTAAAGAAATCAATTTTAATTAACTGGCAGTGGTTATTTAGATATACTTTTTAAGTTTAATTCAAAAACAGCATTAAAAACATAAAATTTGCAATTTGTTGGAAATCCTCAGACAATCTAAAAGTACTTTTCATTAGATATGACAGGAAAAACTATGAAGAGTTTAAGTTGAAGAGAAATGTCAGTATTATCTTATGGATGCATTTTATTCAAATTTAAATTTGATCATTATTAGTTCAGAGCAGTTTTGCACCCATGACTTTTCTAACTTAACTACAGGGTTCGTACAGTCCTTAAATTTTTTTAAATCGATTTTTGGTCCTTAAAAGTTTTTAATTTTGGCCAAAATCAGTAGAAGGTCCTTAATTTTAATCATCTGGAATTTCTCTCTGTTTTTACGACTGCCATTTTGAGTGTGAATTAGCATTTTGGAGGAATATTTTTGGCAATTCACTGACGTATATATGGTTATCTTTTGAGTTGGTTATAATTTGTTTCTATTTCTAATATAAATGATGGGATACTCGAGTTTCTAATAAAGAGCTCATAAACAACTTTTCGCTTTTGGGGTTGTGAATTATTTTATTAAATGGTTCTAAATTTGACAACTTGTCAACAGTTTGGCGATTTTAAGATCAGTTTCTATAGAAAATTTTTAATTCCGAGATCTGAGAATTTTTCGGCGATTTTTTTTAAAACATCTTAACATTGATAAATTTCATTAAAATAATGGTAATGTTGTGTCTTTTATTGCCAATAAGGTAACCTACTAGTTGACAACAACATTAAAAATACTCATTTCTACCATAACATACTAGTATCAATAACCTGTTCTAATTGCGTTGTGTTTATTCCGGATTAACCCTAAAATCAAATTGAGAAATAAACTGGTGAAAATCATAAGCACACAAATTAAATTTAACCATTGATTGATTCTAGAAAAACTTATTTAACTCTTATTGCAAATTATATTGTTGTACAAATCAAACTATTACTGAGTAATTATTTCTTAACATTATTCTTTATAATCTCTATTATAGGTTACTTTGCAAATCATGTAAACATACCAAAAATAAACTATAAATTAATGAACAGTACCCTCCCCGGGGAGGAAAAAAAAATATAAATTTTAACAAGTTACACCTTCCACTTCACACAGAATAATCAATACAGGAAAGAAATTATTGCACTCAATACCATCCAACAAAATAGTTATTGCACATAATAATTTTTATCATTTTTTTCTTTTGATTATTAAAATATTGTTTAATTGGAAAAAAAAAGTTAAGTAGTTGCATTATTACTGGTACTATTACTAATCAATCCTCACCATGAAGTAACTCCAAAAATTCTATTAAATAATTTCTTGAAGAACTTAATTTTCTTTACTATTAAGTTAAGTTACAATAATTTTAATAAGGTTATAAATCTTTGTTCAATCTACTACTTTTACTTAATCGACCCACACAAAAAGAAAACAAATGATTTCTATAGAGTTAACTAAGCTACAAAAAAAAAAAAAAAAAAGTTAAGTTTTACATTTAAATTAATTCAAACATTTAACTGCAGAATTCTATAACCTTTAAGTAACCAAGACAAAAAACATAAAAAAGGAGAGACTTAACTGTGGCTGGGAAGCAAGAAGAGTCGAACCACATGGAGAAGAATAAAAAAAATGAGAGAGTCCATTGAAGCTCAGGAGAACTGCTGGCAGCAAGTGATCACTGGAACCGAGCATTTTTTTTTCCTAGTAGATTCTAGGATGAACAAACGAGGTTCCTATACGGCTAAATAGTTGAATACAGTCCCGGATTTGGAGACACGAGGAGATTAGGATGAACAAATGAGGTTCTGATACGGCTAAATAATTGAATACAGTCCCGCATTTGGAGATACGAGGAGATTAGGATGAACAAATTTTCAGACCATTATTCCGGAAATCTTCAGCGGGAAACGACGAATCAATTTCTAAAAGGGTCCAAAACGCAACGGTTGTAAATTAACTTTCCATTTCAGAGTATGCTAAAGCCTAATGATTTCTTTCTATGGCATCGTAAACGACTACCACAGCGGCAATCAGATGGTTGAGAACTGGGAGCACGCATCATTTTTCTAGAACTTTTCTGCTTTATATTTTTCTTGAGATACACAAACACACACACACAAAAAAAAAAAAAAAAAAAAAAAAAAACTGAAGAAAGAATTAAATTTTGCGAAGACATAGATGCCCATCCACTAAGGCCCGCGCTCAAAGCGCTTAGCCAAGAGGCCCGTAATTCTTTCTGGGCGAAGATCCATTTCCTCGGCGGAATCAGCTGTCGCCTCGAACAGCATCAGAAAGCAATTCAAAAGAGCAAAAGAAGTGTCAAAAAGTGACCTCGTCCCACAAAACAACCCGTTAAAAGGGAGAGCGCCGGAATGCCAACTTGGCACAACTCACTCCTCGCCAAAAGTTAAACCAGTTGCAACTACAGCATTCCTTCATGTTAGCAAACTCGCCAAAGCCACCACTTTGAAACCCCAACGGAAATTCTAAGTCGCCAAGCCCGCCAAATAACCAGGCCTAGTGAAGGGAGAAACTTGGAATTTCAACAACCCTGCAAGCAGTACCAACGAAGGAACGCTGAAAACTCGAAAAAGCGACTATTTTAACCGGAAAGAGGGCATTTCTTCCCCCCAAAGAAATCACAATGAAAATGGAAAAAAAAAAAAAAAAACTATTAATTAAAGCTCATAACTAAAATGCAATTAAAGTTAGGAAAACGAAAGTTATGTCAAATTAAAGAGCTAATTTTTCTGCAACTAATGATATTAAATACTAAGAAATCAAATTAATTTTTAGCATGAAAAACTGAGTTTATTACATGAAAAAATTCACCTATATCCATTGTCTGCGTGTACAAGATTGAAGACGCAGTTCGCGTAAACTCGGAATAGCCAAAATAGATTACACTAGAATTAATAAGGCCAAATAAAGAATATAACCAAACTTGTTGTAGCTCAAATTTTGAATAATTACAAATTAAAATTTTGATTTTTATGAATCACTTAATTATATTAATTGCTACACAACATTACCCAATCATAAAAAAATGCCTAAAAGATATCAAAATCAAAATAAAAGGTTTGACACAATCAAAACCGAAACAAATTGCATTTTTAAAATGTCTTTTTAATTTTTCATAGTAAGTGTTTTTCCCATGTAATTGTCTCAGATTATTCAAAATTCTCAGAATATGCATCAGTTTTCTCTATAAAATTGATTTTACACATTTTCCCTTCCCCCCCCCCCCCCCCCCCCTTTTTTTTTTTTTTTTTTTTCAAAATATTTCTGGCTTTTTGCTGTTACAGAATTGGTTCTGATAATTTTTCTTTAGTATTTTTGACACTGTAACATGGAAAGTTTAGAAGGATTTGAAGGCAAGATTTATAGACCCACGTATATTTGATTCGAGAAATGTGTGAGAAAATGAAAAATGTCTCCATGGTATCAACATATCAACACGTAATGGATACATTTTGCAGAAAAGTTGCGATGAATTTCTTACTTTTTGGAGAATGTCTGGAAGAACAATGGAAACATAATATTTGAATGTTTTATTCCTGATACAAGAATCTTTTTCCTTAACATGTTTATCTTCCCTTTATTTTATCTACTTTTCACTAGACAAAAGCATGGAAATATCAAAAATGCTTCTAATCTTATCACTTGGTAGGCATTATAGAAAGAGATTTTTTTATTAATAAAGAAATTGAAAACTTACAATTTAAAAGATTCATCTAATGTGCCTAAATGCATCGTACACAAAGTTGGTGGCATTTTCCCACCTGATGCAATCTCTGTGTATCCTAAATTCTGCTGCCTAGTGCCTATCTAAATTCTAAAAATTTTGCCATTTCTAGATTTTGTTGTTCTGTGTGTCACTAAATTCTAAAAATTCTGCCACACCTGCTCTGTAACCGGCCTTTACCATATATATTTCATATTTCTTCTGAATGTTCATATTACTAAAGAAATAAAATTAGCCGCTTTTTATGTACATTTAGTGTATTTTAGAATAACAGAAATCCTTAATTAAATCAGAAAATTCTAAAATTAAAAGAAAACGCGTTGAAGAAAGAAACCGAATACATAAAGAAAATTATTCTTCAAAGATATGTGCAGATATTATTATGTAAATTACCCAATTGTTTATCATTTCAGCCTTTACTATAACTTTCCATTTCTGTTTCCTCACATGATAGAGTTACTGATCCAGATTAAATTAAAATTAAATTGTATTTTTTTACCACTAGTCCACAGTTTTAGTTTGAATTTGACTGTTCTTGTTTAATTACATCACCGTAAGCTGTAATTGACTTTGTTAGCATCAGAACATGCCTTTATGTTCTAAGTTCTTTGTCTGATATTGTAGTTACTTTCAGATACAGTGATAATTTTCTTAACGTCTATCGGGGGGGCTATTTAACTTTAACTAGATCAAGTAAACCCTCATAGGTACATTGTGAAGAGGTTGACAAGTTAGGAGAAAAGCACACAGAAACTAGCGAGAACGTTGGTTTGCATAGAGACAAATTTCTAATTATTGTCAGATAAGATCAATAATTAAATAGAAGAAAATTGATATAAACTAGCCAAAATGTTTGGGAAGGCTTATAGAGACATTAGGTATTTTTTAAAGCAGGAATGATAAAAAATTAACAACGCCTTTGCCAGGAATCGAACCGCAGACCTCTGGAATACCACTACCAGCGTGCAAACCACTACACCACGAAGGGTCGCTAAGAAGGTGGGAGAAATACCTTATATACTCCCCCTTTTAAACGGCGACTGGGGTTTTTAGGGAATCCAATCGCCAAATCCTTTGTGTGGAGAACTCATCAAGTAACCATCACCCATCAAATAACCATCAACACCATCAAGTAAAACTTATTCTTTGCATATACTGAGACTTATATATAAAACAACTTATCACCTCTGGTGTTTTAATGGCTTATTGGAACCTTAAAGTATGTTAACTGGGTTACAACCCCTGGAACTCTACACAAAGCTATGACATTAACTGCATTAAGCAGAACTTGACTAACTTTCAACACTTGCAAACTGTGCCTACATCAGGCCTTTCAGGTTTGTTCCAATCAGCAGGTCTCTCTATAGACAAGCAGCAGAGTGACAACATTCAGTCTTTTGTTATGAATCATGATGATTTGTTATGATCTCACTTCTCATTTTAACCTATGCCGGTTGACATAAAATCTCCCTACTATTTGCTAAACCTCTAGACTGACCAAGTATGTGACAAAATAAGACATTAAAAAAAAAGCATAAAGCTAACTATTAGTAAAATGTAAATGTCACTTATCTTCTTTTAAATATGTCCAACTATTATAAGTGTAAAATATTTAATGCTACTTGATAAACTGCACGAAATTAATTTTATTCTCAAACTTATTAATAATTATTTTAGTTAATTCATGTTTAGTAATAATGCATACTACTTAGGGATCTATTTTATTTTTAAGATGGTACAGTCAAAAGTCGTTAATCCGGACTCGTCGGGACTTCGGCGATTCCGGATTATCGATTTTTCCGGATTATAGATCATCAGTTTAAATCTGGTAAGATGGCATGAAGAAATTACAAAATTAAAAATATGAAACCGTAATTTATGAAATAAAGAACAATTATGATCTAAAGGGTATCAAAATTTACAAAAAGAAAAAGCTTAATATTTATTTGTTTACTTTATTAAACATTTCCTTCAATGTAAGTTGCTTCGTTTCATGTGATAATACTTTCTCTTTAATTCTATTAAACAGACATAATTTCTTGTTTAGTTACAAAGTTCCGCTGTTCAAGTCCTATAATTGCTGTGTTGAGAATACCGACTAATTTGTCAATCGAAAATGTTTTCGTTTTCAATAACCTCTGGGTCACTTTCTTCACTATCGGAAGCGAATTATAATGACGAGGAACTTGATTTAAATCATATCAAAGACGGAGTATATCGAGATGAAATACTACTATACAAATAGTACGGAATTATAAACCAAATAAAATAAAAACATCTCTGAAGATAAGGATAGTGCTGACAGATCAACTTCCAATCCGCCAGCGTGAAATTGATAAACAGATTTCGGATTTCAAATATACTTTCGCTTTGTAGATACAAATTACATATTAGTAAATATATATCGGAAATTCTATTTGACATAATCTTTCTAATCTATCATAATCTAATAATGACGTTTCTGCCCCCCCCCCTCTGCCGCAGAGCAGCGTGAAATTGATAAACAGATTTCGGATTTCAAAACATACTTTCGCTTTGTAGTAAATATATATCGGAAATTCTATTTGACATAATCGAAAGTTCAAGCTTACTTTTATAAAATTGCTCTAACAGTCTGCAAAAAAAATAATAAGCCGGATCCAATTCGAAGATTAAGGAACAACGCAATCTGCAGCATTAACTGAATTAGATAACTTTAGCTTAGCGTATAACTCCATTACACATTAAACGCGCATGCGCACAAACATATTCGCAGCTGTAAGGGTCTTATGCGCTCTCGTAAACGCCTGTGCGCATGCGTGAAAGCGACGCATGCGCAGAAAGTTTGTAGCTTTGAGGTCCGGATTATGGGTGTCCGAATTAACGACTTTTGACTGTATTACAAAAGTGAAATTCGAACATAGGATAATATTTTTAATTGAATTTATTCAGTTTCCATTTGCTCATAGGTCCTTAATTTTTTCATTAATGGTCCTTAAAAGTACTTAATTTTCGTGTGCAGAAATGTGTACGAATCCTGAACTAGCAGTGATATCAGATCAAGTTCATCAATTTTATTTCGGCTAAGAATGTAAGATTTGTGCTTGTTATTGGATTAGACTTTGGGTATATTGTAGATGATAGGGCAAATATATCCAGCTCCATTTCCAGTTTTGAAATAGAATCTCCCAAGCAGCAGACCTGAGAATCTCTCATCTCTCGACAGCTTTTGACTAAACAGTATTTTAACTGCCCTCACGTTGCAAAATAAACTATTATAAATGTCAATGCCTTCTTTGGGATTCGAACTCAACCCAGAGCTAAGGCAGCCAGCCAGCTTTCCTAGCATCAAGCCAACAGAGTGGCTTCAACACATTTTATATTAGAAAAATGAAAGAAGGGAAAAAGAAAATAAAAAGTCTAACATCACAAGACAAAGCCTGAAATATGAAAACCAGAAGTTTCTAGAATGTTTTTTACATTATGTAGTTTCAAAATAATTTCCAAAATAAATCAACTTTATAATGGATAATTCAGGTTACTGAACTGTTTATATTTTGATTCTGGTGTAAAATATATTAATATTTAAATATTCTATATTTCAAGTTCTTTACCTAATTTTAATTTGTAAGTTTCTTACACTTTTATAGAGAAAATTCTGTGTAGGGAAGGAAAGCTTTATTTACAAAAGTAATTTTAAATACGATTTAAATAAAACTAAGGTGCCTATTATTCTGTAGAGAACCTCAGTAGTAAACCATATAAAATTTAATATCCATGTCTTAAATGCTATGAAAAGTGGTAAAAATCAACAATGCATAATCTTCATAATTTACATTTTTTATTACAGACTGCAGCTTAGCCACATACTCTGTACAGACTTATTAATTTAATTCTGAATCCCTTTGAACCATGTTTTTAAAGTCAAAATTCAGCTCCTAAGAAACATGAATAACATTAAAAAAATTAGGTACTTTTTCCGTTTTGCCGGCACAAGCGATAAAGTCGCCAATAATGGTAAAACTGATGCCAAACGGAATATTCTTGCTGGTAACCTTTTACGCCTCATTTTCAAAACAAGTCGCAGCTTTTTCTTATCAGATTGATTGTTTCTTTCAATACTGCATATAATTACATAGAATTTTTTATCAGATAAATCAGTTTTATGTCTAAGGCCATTTTCGGTAATTAAGTCAATTAGGATGCAACAGCGCTTACCCAAAGCCGAAAATATAGAAAAGGTAAAGTCAAAGGTTATATTCATCCATTCTAATGAGAATGCATTAGCGAAGTAAAGCACTGCAGTTTTACATAATTTCTGAGTAAACTATTCGTATGAATTGAAATATTTCTTGCATTTAAACTTGTGTTCCAAATTAAGATTTAACTTGAAATTAATGTAGATAATTACTGAGAGCATTAGATTTTTGTAGAGTAGTTTATGTGAGATGAGATCGCTTGGGGTCACGTGATATGAACCGGCGAATCAGGATGTTGAACCATGAAAGCATAGTAAATTCTTAAATTAATGTCTTTTTGCAAACTTATTGTCTTTATTTATTGGCTTTTTATAAAATTTTAAGCGATATTAAAATGTTTATGCCTTCTTTTTTTAAAAGAATTCTTAGAACTAACATTTTTTTAATATTTTTTATGTGTATACTATATGTTGTCGCCAATAAAGTCTGCTTGGGCGAGATTTGCGCCAGCGAAACGGAAAAGTACCATAAATTATTGCTTATTTAATTTTAATAATTTTAGATTTATAACAAAATTACACCCACGAAACATTTAAATTTATACATCACATTTCTAAAATTATTCAGACATAACTCTGTTACGTAACAAAATATATAATCCATATACATTAATTAAATATCCCTACCAAAGATTTGACAAAATTAATTCACTTCAGATTTACAAAATGCAAGTGAAGCATTAGTTCCACCAAAACCAAATGAATTTGTTAATGCTACACGTTTATCACTCGGATTACCTGGCCACACTTGTGAATCTTTCCCTGCAAAATTTACAGGCAATTTTATATCAGTGTTATCCAGATTTACATTTGGGGGTATATTATTGGTAAAACATGCCAGTACAGTAAAAATGGCTTCTACACTACCAGCAGCTCCCAGAAGATGTCCTAATGCACCCTTTGTTGAAGACATAACTAAAGAATTTGAATGGCTTCCAAATAAATCATGTATTGCTTTCACTTCAATAGCATCACCAAGTGGTGTTGAAGTTGCATGAGCATTAATATACCCAACATCATTTATGCTGATGTTATTTTGTAACAGAGCTTCCTGCATACAACGATATGCTCCACTACCATCACTGCAAGGTGATGTAATATGATATGCATCACCAGAAAGACCATAGCCTAGAATTTCTGCATATATTTTGGCATTTCTTTCAATAGCATGGGAGAGTGATTCAAGAACTAATATTCCAGCTCCTTCGCCCATCACAAAACCATCTCGATCTTTATCGAAAGGTCGTGAGGCTTTTTCTGGAGAAGAATTAAAATGTGTTGCCAAAGCTCTCATACGTGAAAATCCAGCCAATGAAACTGGACTAATGACAGCTTCAGTACTTCCACAAATCATTACAGATGCTTGCTTATTTCGAATAAAATTATATGCATCTCCAATTGCATGAAGCCCTGTAGCACAAGCGGTTGATACTGAATGATTAGGACCTTTAAAACCATAATTTATAGCAATATGACCTGCAGCCATATTAGAAAGTATTCGAGGTACAAAAAATGGGGACACTTTATTATATCCTTTTTCTTTGAGTACATTTCCAGTGGTAATAATATCATTCATGTCTACCATACCTGTACCAACCGCAACACCAATATTTTTCTTCTCCTCAGCTTCTGGAGATAAATTTGCATCAACAATTGCTTCTTTAGCAGCAACCAACGCATAAGCTGTGGCCATAGAAAATGTTTTAAAATCAGAATTACGGAAGAATTTCTTAAGGTTTAAATGTCCATTTTGATCCCCAAGTGGCACAAATGCTGCAACTTTGCACGGTATATCACTATATTTAGGATCAGTAAGTGCAACTGTACCTATTTTACCACTCAGCAGCTTCTCCCATACATTAAATGCACCTATACCTAGTGGGCAAACAATACCAATTCCAGTTACTACAACTCTATTTGATTTCGCAATATTTTTTGTAAAATGACGCAGAGGACTCATTCTACCGTTCTAATTCAAGCATCAAAAAACGATATGTACTTCTTTATGCACGTATTTCATTCAAAATTATAATATTACTTTTATTATGTATGTTCCGAGTTAATCAGCAATGAAAATTAAAAGCATAAACAGAAAACCGAAAGAATATTATTATCTATCATCTTTCGCCTTAAAACTTTTACATAATTCTTAATCAACTTTCAAATACCGCACGCTACTACTCTAAAAGTCGCTTTTTTGGTTTTTAAAAACAACAAACAACAGAGCTCTGCCATTCTCCCTTTATGAATTTTTCTGTAGAAATATTACAACTAAATAATTTAAAAGTTTCTTTAAATTAAAATTTGAATTTCATAATATTATAAAAAATTACGATATATATGATAATATGCTAATATTTTAAAACACAAATTTCAAAACTTTTTAATAATAACAAATTTAAAAATTAATTATCTATACAGCCTACAGACTGCTTTTTAGCATTCCTTGTCTCTATTTTCCAGAAATGTTAATATATATATTATACATATATATATATATATATGCGTATGTTTGTAAGTGTATTATATTTTTCCACTTTTATATCTTAAGGGTTAGGTTCTTTAATTGTATATGCATGCATAATATTTTTTTACATTACTTTTGGCTTTGCCGGCACTTATAACGCTTTTTGCCCTCTCTCTAGATAAGGAATATAAAATATGGGTCTTTTTCTTTTTTGTGTGTGTGTGTGTCCCATTTTTGGTATCCCGCCCTCCAAATTCATACAAAACACTAATACATACCATTACCTCGCACTACCTACAAAGGCGTAACTAGGGTTTTCAGTGCCCGGGGACAACTGAAGATTTTGCGCCCCTTTCCAAGGCCAACTAGATATCTACCAACACCGACTCTACTACAAGCCAGATGGCGGTTTTGTGACGTCACAAGTTGTGGTCATCGGGGATTTGATGCGTCGTCCGTTGTAACGAACGAAGCGTGCTTGTTGCTATCGCTATTTTACAGTGTCCTTTTGTTGACATATTTGTTGGTCGATTCCGACTTAATTTTGACAAATATGGATGGATGTGTTGCATCAAATTGTTCCAATCATTCAAAAAATAAGTTTAGGACGTTTCGCCAAAAATGAAGAAAATGGATAATTAATTCTCGTCAAAATCAATGGATTCCGGTCTCAAAAAGCATGTTTTTGAGGTAAGTTCAGCTTCGAATTTTCTCATAGAATGTTAGAATAAATTACTCTTCGTATTTCTTTAAAACGTGCATTTTCGTTTAACTATCATTTATTAATGATCAAATGATTTTATAAATACAAAATAAACTGCGGAATGTGTGTGTGTTTGTGCAGTAAATTATAGCCGATACTGTTTGTGTGATGTTTCTTTTATTATCGTTTGTAAAATTGTACACTACATTTCATGTAAATTTTGTGCTTGGTTAGAAATGTGATATGACTTTTCGTGTTTCAATTTTACTCTACGATTGGTAATTTAAAGTCGCATGCTATATTTTGATGTATTGTCACCAAACCTGTTGGTTTGCACCTTTGTTAAAAATTGGATACATAGTTATGATCTAAATTATAAATTATTTAGGTTTTTCGTTATATTAAGATAAATAAATTGTGTATTTGTCTAGGCATTTTGAAGAAGTATTAATTTAAATATTCTATGCATCATTTTGATCCTATTATCATGCTTTTATGTTATAGTAAACCTTCATGTTGTATTTCTAACTATAGTTACTTTAAATTTATTTTCAATGTGTGAACAGGAAATATGTTTTAATTAGCAGTATTAATTAATTAATTTTGCAAATTTAGGGGGGATTTAAAAGTCCTCCTGAAATTTTTAAATTATGCTTTCTATGTGAAAAAATAATTCAAAATTTTCAAGACAAAATAATATGTGGAAATATAAACTATGGACGAAGAATTTATAAATATGCAAAATCAGATGAGGTAAATATTCCCTCCTGTTACAATATCAAAACAAAGATCATAAAATGTTTGACTGCACGTGGAATTTTTTTTTTTTTTTTTTTCAAGAAGCTTATTCAAAATAAAAAGCAGCATGAGGAAAGTTTTGAAGCTCCTGCTTTTAAAAGGAAGAAACTAAATTAGAATCTGAATCGACAGTTTAAGAAGTTTTTACTGTTCAGTTCTGTCTGTGAAAAAGTACATTAGTTATTGCTGAAAAATTGTTGCTTATCTCTTAGAACAATAGTTATACCCACGAGTAGCTGAATGGTTAAGGTTACTGAATGCTAAGAGTACATTTTCTGTTCTTTTTCTGAACATGCTGTCTGCATGGTTTTTTTTTTTTTTTTTTTTTTTTTTTTTTTTTTAAGTTTTTTTTACGTATAAAGTGAATACAAGCCAGTTCTCATTAGAAAGTCCTTCACCATGAGCAGATAGCACTTTTGAGCTTTGTGATAGTCAACTAACCAAACTGTTATGAATATTAGATAATAAGCTTAACATTGGTGAAGATCTTTCTCGTAAATTTGACATGGAATATCTCTTGGTCTGCTAAATCAAATTTACTTTTGTGTGACCTTAAATCAGAGGCACCAATCGTGAATCTGTTTTGGCGTGTTTTAAGAATTATAAATGAAAAATTTATTGCTACTGTGGAAGAATGCTCAACTAATGTTTACCTTACTAATCAATTCTTATAGTATTGTAATGGCTTGCTCTGTTGCAAATTTTTCGCTAACCAGAAACTTTCAGTACTGCATTTCCTTTAATTGTGTTTTTGTTTATGCCCTTTCAGTTATAATTCTTATAATCATAGGGATAATGAAAGTATTTAATTACTTTATATTTAAGAAATAATTAAGTTTTTTTATTTATGGTAATATTTTGCACAGATTATAAAGTAAACATTTCACAAAAGAGAGCATATATTTTCGGGAATATTGTTTAAAGTAAAAATGATATCAGTTTTTAAACATTATATATATATATATTAAGAAAATAAAATCAGGCTCTAGTGTAGAATTGGGTGCCCCTTTGATTAGCGACATTTTTTTTTTTTTTTTTTTTGGCAATGAAACCTCGCTTCAGGTTACCATGATAGTTTTAACTTTGTTTTAGCTTCCTTATTTAAATGAAAATAGATTGATGTGTACATGGACAAATTTAAGGCAGTGCGCAATGCCTAGTTTGTGTGCAATTCTAGGATGCTTTTTTAAGTGAAAACATATCGATGTGTACATGGACACAGAGTTCGTGCAATTTTTTTTTTTCCTTTTACTTATTACATGCTCCGCCTTTAGGCACTACAGGAAAAGGAGGAATGCCCCGTGGAGGTCTTGCTAAAATCCTAGTATACGGTGCAATTTTGAAAATTATCGCCAACATCAAAATGACCTGTTTAACTACTCATCGTATATGTCCCGTTTACTGCTCATCATAAAGTGGGCAAAAGTAGCCAAATCCCTTGTGCACCAGATACTAGGATTAAACTTTTAAAATCCTAGTATACGGTGCAGCCTTGGTGCGATTTTGAAACTTATCGCCAACACCAAAAATGACCCAAAGAACGTCTATGTATATACTATACACTATATACATAGTATATGCTATGTATAACTATATATATTCTTTGAATGACGCGTTTTACTACTCATCATATATGTCCCGTTTTTACTGCTCATCATCAAAGTCGCCAAAAGTAGCCAAATCCTGTGTGCACCGGATACTAGGATTAAAACCGAGGTCTTTTTAAGGTAAACTGGCTCATATCCAAGTTACACATGGGAAAGCCACGAAAACGCCCATGCAGCCAGCCCATTTGCCGGGATTCGAACCCTGGACCGAACTACCAGTGTTCAGTGGCTTTTACCGCTTGCCCACTGGTGGGCTTGTGCGATTCTTTGACTTCTTATTTTGGTTTTGTATGGCGGCCATTTTGAAATTGTGCCTTCTTGACGCCAATTGTAAACTTTTACCTAAAATCACTACTCATCATGACACCAAATTTTTTAAAATGAGTTTAGATCAGTAAAATATTCAAGACTATGCAAATTGTAAACAAAAACCAATGCACATATAAAGAATTCTTTATTTGATTGCAGTCTTAATGTGACATGTCAGAACACTTTTCATATTTCACATTTTATTTATTCATTAAAAATTATTATGCATTCAAGTTTGTTTTCATTTTAAACTTAGTTTTGAAAAGGCATAATAAATTATTTTCCAGAATATAATATCTGTTGTAATGTTCATAGATGGATTTATATTAAAATATAAAATTTTATTTGTTAGAAAATAATACAAATTTTCATAAATTCAACTGCTAAAGAAAAATACACAACAGTACATTTATAACAAATTTTATTACAGCATCTTTACACATATCATTATAACTGAAATCCAACACAATTTATTCTGTGTTGACACAAAAGAAATACAATGCAAGAATATAAAACTCGATCATTATAAGAAATGAACATTCATAATATGAATCATTTATTATCTTCATAATAAATGGTTTTCTCTCCTTTTAATGCAATATTCAGGTATAGAATCCAGTACAGTTCTGTTATGGGGAAGCCATCGGCAAATTTTTTGCTAAACTCGCCAAGAGACTGGTTCATATGAAGTCGCCAATGTTTACTTCTAAAGTCATTAGAATGTTAACTTTTTTAAGAAAATGTAAAAGAATGTCTTTTCAAAATTGGCAATGAGAATGCAAATTCCAAAGATGTAATGGTCACTTGTATTTCAATCAACAGGCCTTCAACACAAGTTTCCCATATTCTATTATAAAATCTCTGGTTTCAATGATAAATGTAAGAGAATACATGTCAATATAGAATAATGACAATACACCAATGGCATTTTAGGGGAAAAAAAAAAAGTTTGCTTATTATCAATAATTAAATTTACAGTTATATGAAATAAAATAAACATACCCATTACATGCATCACAAGGTAATTTGTTTAAGAAATATTTTTCCATTCTTATGATACTCAGTTTCATAATATCCACAATTATCTGGGACATTTTTTTACTTCTTCAGCACATAAAGCTCTTGCAATAATCAAAGATCTTTCCATCTATTTTATAATACTGACGATTTGTTACACAAGACACCACACTGATAAGCACAAATGTATATTACCAAATGAAGAGTTTTTGTTGAAAATAAGGAGGATGAATTATTCCAATACTTATATTTGGAATTAAATCATGCACACAATCAAGTTCTAGATATTCCTTTGTTAATCATTTTCTTTATCATTCAGGACTGATCGATATTCTTGAACAGAGTGGTGTGACAATGGATATTGCACATATTTTTTAGTCCACAAAGCACCAATTCTTAACTTCAATAAACTAAGATATATCCTATGCATTTTTACACCTGAGAGCCATTTCATGATAAAAACACTCCTTTCTTCGTTATGAATACCTGAAACAAAGAAAAAACGAAAAATTTATTTTTTAGTCTTTAAAATCATATATATATATATGAAATGTTATAAAGACCTATGTATTGTAAAGTTCATAAATTATATATTATGAAATATAATTATTGCTGTATGTCTCTTTTTCTTTTTAATAAACAACAAGGTGTTAGCCGAGGTTTCCAAGCCTCGTTACCAAAGTGTACGTGGTAGAGCCTTATCATGTCAGGAAAAGTGCAATGACAGAAAAGGATACCGGACGTCCCTTGCAGTCACACTTCATCATTCTTTATTTAATTATTTCAATAACTTTTCAAACTTTTAGTCTGTTTGCTTATTTTTCATGTTCCAAAACGAAAAGTCCCTAGGCCATTTCCAAGTCGTTTTCCAGTAGAAGCAGTCCGGCTAATTCTATCTTTGGATTTCTTAACAGTGAGATTTTTTATGGGGTGGGGTAGTTAGCCCCACACCCAACCCCCAACCTGGAGGACCAGTTCCCTGATATAATCCCCAGGGGCAGGGTGCCCGGCTATACCCCCAGACGCTGGGTACCCATTTTAGTCGCCTTTTACGACATGTATGAGCTACATTGGGACTATTCTTTCACACCCGGTCACCACACGGGTATATTAGTAGATTGATTTGTGCTTATTCACTGTGAATAATGTGAAGAGCAAATATTACTTGAGCTGAACATGTAGTACTATCCAGAAAGAGTCCATACAATTATTGCATAAATAGAAATATTAGAGTTAGATTGTGCAGAAAGAAGACATTATGGAATTTGTCTTTTTTCTACACTACTACACTATGCCATGTAATATGTTCTTTCTACACTACTACACTATGACATGTAATTGCAGGATACAAAATCTTAAATAATGATGAACATTTTAAGAAACACAATTGAAATACAAAATAGAAACTTGGGAACTTGAGAAGTAACTGAGTATAAAGAAAATTTTAAATATAAAATCTTCAGTAATGCCAAAAACTTGGTTAAATAACTAAATAAGCAAAGAATAATATCTACAAGTCCAGAATAAATTATGATATTTAGCATTTAAATGTATAATAAATATGCTTCTTAAATCTCAGCTGCTCAGCAACGATGACACGTAGATATTTAGCAAAGGCGCTTGTAAATACAATATAGAAATTTCAGGACCTTGAGAAGTAACTTAGTATAAAGCAAATTAAAAATTATATAAAATCTTGAGTAATATTAAAAACTTGGTTAAATAAGCAAAGAATAATATATACAAGTCCAAAATAAATTTTGGCATAAAGCAATTTAAATGTATAACAAACATGCTTCTTAAATCTCAGCTGCTCACCAAAGATGACACGTAGATATTTAGCAAAGATGCAGTTTGAGAGAACTTTAAAAATTACTTTTAAAGACAGCATCAATGTTACTTTGCAAGTGTCTGAAGTTTTCTTTTTTTTTTCTTTATTGGACTTAATATCGTCATTTTTCCTATTGCAAAGATTCTTGAGCATGATATTTGTTGATATCCAAATTATCAGTTTGCTTATACTTTCACTTGTATGACCATTATCACAAATAATATCATCAAAGAGCATTTCTTTTAATTCTAAAATTTTAAAAGTCAAATTTGCAACAATTTTCCTCTGATTTTGTTCCAACAAAAAATCTTCATATTCTTCACTACACAGCTTATTTACAATTAAATAATTATACATAATTATATTTACAATAAATGGTTTTGGCCACCTGAGTCCACCACGATCAAGATTCTTTATAAGATCATACGTTTGATCATGATTAACTGTGGAATTTATTGTAATGTTTTGTTTGCAGGTACAGCATTTCACTTTCTTTAAAACTGCATGACAACAGTAACCACCCAAATAAGTCAGAACTGGCAGATGGCTACTAATGCCCTTCACATCACTCTCCGTAATATTTAATGATGGGTAATATACTGTATTATCTAATTCTATAATATCATGAAGATTATCATCATATTCAAATGATGTTAAAGGGACAGTAGTATTTTTAATAATCAATTCTAACTTAATACTTGATTGTATTCTTAATTTTTTTTCACATTCTAATAACTGTCTCATTGAAATATGATACTGAGAACCAGAAAGTTGTCTGTATTTACCAAACCGGGCTTCAAGAGCATCAGTCTGAATTTTTCCTGGAAGTATATATTTCATTCCAAGCTCTTCAACACAATATCTAGTCAACTCCAGTATACCATAAGTAGTTTGTTTGAGAGCTGCATGAGTTTCTTTTGTAAGCATGCCTGTTGAACATTTCATTGATTCCCATGCATCTAACCAGTTAAGAAACTGATTGAGGAAAATAACTTTTGGATCAGAATCATCTGCTGTTAATGGCTTCATAAATTCACTCTTTTGATGTATACCTTTAAACATAGTTTTAACATTCATAATATCCCACCATTTGCATATTATGGATATAAACTCAGATGTATCTGAATAGTGTGGTATTTCATGCAAAGGACCCAAATGAATCAGACCTTCAATAGTAAATTTATTGAAAATCTTAAGAACCAGTTTAATGTTTTGTTTCTCTAAATTAGAAGGTGAAAGACTTTTTAGAGTTAAACCATTAGAAAATGTAATCAGTTGGTCATTTTCAATTTCATGTAGCTTTCTCAAAGACATAAACGAAGCAGTTTTGAAGTGCTTCTTTGAAAGATCTTCAATATTTGGAAAAAACATACATGTACCAGGATTTTTCTGGTTCAGCCAATTGTTCCTTATATTTTTAAATAAATGAACTGCATCTATTATGTAGAAAAGAGGCCTATTCCCATTCATTGGATGTTTGTAAACAAATGAATTACGTGGTGGATTTGAAAACAAACTCATGGCTTTTCTATTTATTGCATTGTTGTCTGTAATAACACAAATAACAATAATTCCCATATTTTCAAGACCTCTAATCACTTTTTTAATTACATAATGTAATGTTTCAAAATTTATTGTGTTAACAGGCATAATATGTACTACCTCTTTGAATGAAGATTCCAAACTGGATATCATAAAAGCAAATGCACTGGTTGCCGGACTGGAAGAATCAAATGCAGCCCCAACGACAGAGCCTCCTTTGTAATCAAAATATGGCTGAACATAAATTTCATCTACCAAAAGAATCACTTTTCTTTCTCGATCCTCAAGGAAAGTTACACGATTTTTTATATATTTTAAAAAAATTTTCATCAATAGTTTCATTACATGGTGACAATACTAAATTGCTACAAATTTTTTTTAAAGTCGAAGGATGAGGCATAATAATACTGCCACTATCCCTTAAAAATTTATATGCATGTGGTGATATAGTATTTAACAAGCATGCTAACACTAGTACATCAGGATTGTATCTAAAATTATTTTTAGGGCAAAGTAAAAGATTCATCTGGTCTTGCAAAAATTTAATAATGCTCTCATTTTTGTCGTTAGAGATAGTTTGCAGTAATTCATTAATTATATCAATTGTTATGGTTAATTTTGAATTTAACTCTTTGGTTTGAAGATTAGCCAATTTATCTAAAACAGTCCTAATTTCATTAAAATTTGTAACTTTATGTGGGAATGTGTAAGGAGATAATTGCATAATAGATTTTTCTTTAATAAATACAGACATTTCTTGATTGTCATTCACAACTACAGAATAATCAATTGATGGCCCAGGACTAAAAACAATATGAATAAAGCAAACAGTTGAGGTATCTGGAACTGTGTATACATGCCAAAATGCTGATATTCCATAGCGATCAATACATGACAAAATATCATTAGAACAATTAATTTTCAAATCATTATTATACATTTCATATTCTTTAAGGCTTTCACGCAATGCTTTCTGTAAATTATGGCACTCGCGGGCAGTTTTTTTTTGCATCAGGATCTTCTCGTACAATGGTGCTACTTTTTGAACTGTATACAGATGGATAGTCCTTAAATATTGATGGCACTGTATTTTCTTTTAATCTACGCACCTGAAGTGGAGCAGAAATTAAAATTCCATTCTTAGAATCAAATGCTGAAGCTTCAACTTTAAAATCACTTTCCTTGAAATGCAATTCACAAACCTTTAGAGAAAATTAAAAAAAAAAAAAAAAAAAAAAAAAAAAACATTATGTTAATAGTAATAGTTTAAAAATCAGAGGGTTCATTCTGAGCATTTGTAGTAAAGAATATTCATTTCACAGATAGAACCAGAGAATATTTGCAGTGATTAAAGCTCTATTTCAATCCTTTATTTCTGTATATCCTGGTTTATGTAACAAAATATTATCATTTAAAAATTTCTGAATGAACCCTTATATGTAATTAATAACTCTACTTACCTTTGAACTCTTTTTGGGTGAAAAGTCTTTCCGTTGGATTGCAGAAAGCCACTCTCTCTTCAAATCTTCATTTTTAGGAAAGGAGAATACAGACACTTTTGGTCCTGTTGGGTAGTTTCCCTTACATAATGGTACACAGCATCTACCCGGCATTTTAATAACTGAAATGTTTTTATTTAAATTAATATATAAAAGGGAGTAAATAGTTATGTATAAAATATAAATTAATTATTTTTAAATATAAAAGGGAGTAAATAGTTATAGTGTATAGCTAATGGCATGTAAAATTTTAAGAATAAGCTGTGTTAGCTTATATTATAACATCAAATTTATACAGGTCCATAAAAAAAAATGTTTTATTCTGAAACAGATCAGGTAATATAATTATGCAAAGCCCGTTTATTCTACGATGGGCTGACACAACATTATTCAAAAAGAAATTATACATAGCACAGCAGCCTTGTCTCTACCAGAAATAACACATGTATACTAGAACATACGCCTAAAAACGTTGATATAATTAGAAAAATATAACTTTACAGAAGTAAAGTAATGTATTCTTACCTCTCTAAAATACATCCAACCTTAAAACCATAAAAAAATCAAAGTATTCTGCTTCAGCGTTCGCACAACGTAAGAAGCTTCAGCAATCAGCAAAGAGCCACTGCATGCGTTCCGAAGTTTATTATGACCAGAAGTCGTGACGTCACACGAATTTTATGGTATTTTAGTCGTACACTACCGATTATCGCACTTCTCGCAGAGGACAATTTTCAGGATGTGCGCATGCGCTAAAAATCTGTCATGTTCTCTGCGACGATTTCAGAGCTAGTGTTCACCGCTCACTAGCCGACGATAAAATCGGCGACTCTAGCCAATTAGATTGCTTCCAGAGATCACGTGCTTTTCTCTCTCATTTTGGAATAAATAATAAACATGGCGCTTTTTCGTTGGAGCGAAAATCAAATTTTTCAAGTTGATTGATTTTTATAGAGACCATGCTGTGTTGTGGGACACAAATAACATAAATTATAAAAATAAAAAGTTAAAGGATTCCCTTATTTTGGTAAGTTATCTTCCCGTTACTTTATCATCAAATATTTTTTTATTCGTGATGAAAATTATTTTATGTAGGTTAATTATCTGTTGAAGTAAAAATTGCAAAAAATCAGTTTTGTGTTAATTGATGTAAACAGCTCAATTTAATACAATATTGCTCAATTTTATTAGCTGATTAACTGATATATCAATATGATTACAGTTTTCAGAACTGTATTAGTATTTTTTAATTATTCAGTATCATATGCTATTTTAAGATTTTGCATATTTATATTTCTTATTTGAAATTTTTGTATTGAAATTACACTATTCCTTTCTACTATAGTAATCTTTATTCTTTATTAGTACTTTTTACTCATATTGTTGCGGTTTTCATAACATTATTGTCTATTTATTTAATAGTAAAGGTTATCATTTAAAGCACAGTAGTTATTTACTTTTTCTGAAGCATGGTTATTTTAACATTTCAGGACTTAAGCACACAAATATGCGTTCCAGAAAATGAAATTTAAAAAAAAAATGGAGTAATCTGCGTACTCAATTTACAAAGGAGAAACATAAAGAGAAAAAAAATTATACATCTGGTGCAAGCACTGCAATGCAGTACAAATCGGCATGGCAGTTTTACACATCGTTACAATTTTTAAGTGATGCCGTGTCCTTAAGGAATACTGTGACTTCTTTGGTAAGCCATTACTTTTTAAATTTATATAATTTGGCTTATAAAGTAAATAATTTCCCTTTACTATTTGAAAATTTATAGAATTGTTTTTAATATAGGCAAAACTTTAACAGTTTTTGTGATAAATAAAATAATATTGTTATACATACTTAGCTGTGTAAATTATATTAGCCAAATGTGCTAAAATCTGTCGACCATGAGCATAACAATACTTTAGGCAACCATGCTCATAAACATTCCTTCAGTCAAGCAACATTACCCTCATTCTTTTTCATTTATAAAAATTTGCCAAAACTTGAGGTGGTTACGCTAATATGTTAAGTACTAAAAAATAAAAAAACACTTATGAATTTTCAAAATGCTTCTCTAACTTTTTAGCATTATTCTTTTCTCAATGTACACAGTGATCTGTTTTCACTTATTTAAAAACCAATAAATTGCATAAAAACTTGTACTGCACATCAAAACTGTTTACCAAACACATCTCATCGCTGTTTGCGTTAACAGTTTTGTGTGACAAAATACTATATTCTGCAGAATTTTTACTGCAGTTTCTTCCATTGCTGGCAGATTCCACAAGTGATATTTTAAAATAAGTAAGTTAAAGGTTCCCAACTCCCCAAAAAAATTACAATGTCTGTCAAAATCATTAGAATTCCAAATACAACAAAAATAAACAACAATTGAAAACATTGCTTGACTGAAGGATTTTTATGAACAGGGTTGCCTGTGAAATTTTTATGTGCAGAGTATGGCAATTTTTATTAAGGTGGTTGAGATAATATGCGACTACCTCTAATTTAAAAATATTAATAGAGAAACATGAATTCTTATTGCATTTTAAGTAATTATTACTATCAAAATCTTACTCATATTGTTCAAGTTTTTACAAGTAAATGAAGTCCAACCCCGCTTCACATTGAAAAGTTATAAAAATATGGGATGTACATGCACAGATACTGTTCTTTTAAAAACACTCAAATTATTTCTTTTTACTGTAGTAATTATTAGCTTTGCTTTCTTCTCAGTTTATATATATATATATATATATTTGTAAATTATATATATATATATACCATTTTCAATGATAAACTTATATTCACAGCTAAATCAGACATAAGTTAGTCAATATTTTGTTACTTTTAACATACTTAAACATAAGCATTAACTTCTTATATATTTTCTTTTAAATATATGTATTGCATGTTTTTATTGATACCAAATACGCTACAACTTAGACAACAGAATTACGAGTTTTTTTCGTATTCTTATTCAAGATATTTGACTATTCAACTTTGATATCTCTTGAAAAATCAAGCTTAGGAAATATATTCATTATCCTTATAAATATTTATTTCTGCATGTTTTCCATAGCTTGTTAATTCTGATTTGTTATATATGAATGAATGATAGCTGAAATAGTAAAAATTAAAGTGTTATTTTAATTTTCAGGATTTTAATGATACTAGTACACAAGAAAGAAGTGCAGAAGTTACCAGACATTCTGAGGAGATGTTTGACATCAACGATTTTGAAGACACTGAAGAGACACAGAGAGAACTATGTCATACACAAACACTACACAAAAACTAAAAAGACACACATCAAACACTACAACTTCAAACAAAAAACAGAAACACGATCACATTTACACAGCAGCCACAACAACACTTGGAAGAAATTTCTACAATATTAAAATCAAAAAACACTACTCCAAATACATTTACACAGTTCGGTTCCTTTGTTGGTTCCGAACTAAGTCTAATCCGTGACCCTCAACTCCTCACAGACACAAAATATAAAATATACCAAATTCTCACAGATGCACAGACAGACAGAACAAATGTATTAGATTCCATGAACAACACAGAATAAATAAGAAACTTAGATATATTTTGTAAACATATTTTGTAATAAAAAAAATAATTATAAATAATCTTTATTTCTTTATCTTTTATTATAACATATATTGAGAAATCAAGGAACATATATTGAGAAATTAATAATATTTTATATGTTTATCTTGCCACGCAACTTTTCCTTCATTATTTACATAAATTTTAGCACAAATTTTTTCTCGCATCAGCTTTGCTTCAGCAGACCCTGTGTTATAACCATTTTGTTTACACAGGGATTTCATCTTACTTAGCGATTCCTCATTTCGCCATGATCCAGGTATAAAATTAAAGTCCTCATCTTCATGATCGATTAGTTCTCTTGGTGTATACAATTGCCTGGATGGTCTTTCTCGTAGAAAGTTATGCAAACAGCAGCATACAGAAACAATTTTATCAACTGTCGCAGGAGGCAGCTGTATTGGTTGCATCAAGATACGAAATCTATTTGATAATATCCCGAATGCATTTTCAACAACACGCCTTGCCCTGGACAGTCGATAATTGAAAATCCTTTGCTGAGGAGAGATTTTTTTACCAGGATATGGCCTCATCAGATAACGTTTCAAAGGAAACGCCTCATCTGCAACCATAAAATAATTCACAGGATCACTACCTGGAATCAAAGGTGTTGGGCTAGGGCAGATCGAAGCAAGTTATTGTCTAGCATCGAAAATAAACTTGTTTGAGGCAAAAACTCCTCCGTCTGATATTCGTCCATTACATCCAACATCAATAAATGTAAATTTATAATCTGCATCAACTGATGCCATCAGCACAATGCTGTTGAAACTTTTATAATTGTAAAAAGTGCTGCCACCCCCTGCTGGTGCTTTTATCATAACGTGTTTTCCATCGATGGCACCAACACAGTGTGGCAGGTTCCACTTTTCAGCAAAAGCTTCTTCTATGGCTTGCCACTCCTGAGCAGTGTTTGGTGTCTACGAAATGAGAAAATAAGTATTAATTATGAAACTGAAAAAAGGATGCGAATACAAAATATAAATGCAGAAAATGCTATTTGAATATTGGCAAATAGTAAAATCAAATATTTTATCAATGAATATTAGCTACTCATTTGTTATAAAATTCACATCAGAGAAGTAGATAAAAAAATGTGCTTATAATTTTGGTTGTGTTCCTATGTTTCACTTTTTATCTAATTTTTTCCCCATTTTTTTCTCTCTTGTTTTTGATTAAGCTACACCATAGATTCTATTTAAAGTTTTTAAAGTAATGAATGTGTCAGATACAATAAATGGAATTAAAGCTAAGTGACTGTGGGTAAATGAATGTTTTTGATCACAATACCATACAGACAGAAAAACTGATAATTTTGGAAAATAAATGACAAACATAATACAATAAACAAAAAGGGCTTTGTTGTACACAAAAACAGAATTTTCATTTAAACAACATGTTTAAACATTTTATAACTGAATATATATGCTTCTTAATTTGAAGAAAACTCAAAACTAAAAGTGTCTATTGAAGAATTTTGGATGAACCCATAGGTGGTCAATTTAGCAGATTCATTATGTGTTTTATACAGGGTTGATACTAGGTTGTCAATTTGCTGTCCAATGCAATCTCTGCAGTTCCTACATTCTATTGCTAGATGCCTCCCTAATTATAAAACAATGTTTATTATGTTTATTATGATTTTTCCAAAATCAAATAATCATATCTCTTCTTATAAATTAAAATTTTATTTAAATATACTGAAAAGCATAACAACATTACGACAGACTAACACTTCACATTGAAAATGGTTCATTCTAGAATTTGAGTCAAATTATAATCTAGAGCATGGACCAACAAACTGGTGCCTGCAAAACAATTTTAAAATTTTAAGAAGCTGACGAGATATTTTAATGTTGAGTGGGAAAAACAATTTCATTTATAACTTAAAATTATTTTCTTAAACTGTTGGTCGCGACCCCATAGGAAAAACATTTTAGCAGTTTTTGATAATCCTTTAACTTATTCTAAATAATTTTACAATTACCAAACATTTTTTACACAATGTATCTGAAAAATAGATAAAGATAAGGCAATACATAAAGTTCTCTTTCTAACTGAACAAAAATCTGATTTTGCGAATTTATTTCATAATAAGTTATGGCTACAAAAGCTGCGTTATTTGAGTGACATATTTGAAAAACTAAATGATCTAAATTTGTCGTTTCAAGAAAAAGGTTGCAACATAGTCATATTCAAATTAAAAATTGATGCTTTATTAAGAAAATGACCATATGGAAAACTATGATGGAAAAGGGTTTGTTAGAAATGTTTGTCGCAACAACTGAATTTTTAAATGAAAATGATGAAATAGATAAATCAAAAAGATGACTTGTTTGAAAAAAATGATAAATGAACATCTTCGATGTCTTGAGAAAAACTTTAAGAAATATTTCCCTTCAAATTTTAGTGTCAAAGAACTAATATATATGTGAAACTATTTAGAATTAATGTGGAAAATATTACTCATTTGCCATTAAAATCACAAGAAGAACTTGCTGATTTATCAAATAATTCGGGATTGAAACTTTATCTTTAATACGAAGTCTTCAGAAGATTTTTGGCTAGCAATTGCAAAAGATTTCCAACAATTTCTGAAACTGCCATAAACTTTTACCTTTTTCTGCAACATATTAGTGAGAGACATTTTCATCTCTAACCACCATAAAATCAAAAGTGTCAATCAAAAAAGTTTAAAAAGCCCTGATTTATTACATGGTAAAAAGTGCATGCTTATGCAACTGAAGTATAATGGTTAGTGTAAAATATAACTTGGAGAGACATTTCATCAGTACGGTGTTTGCATAACATTTTCAAGGGAATGTTACATGAGTAATGAAATTCCAATTGCTATACTAAATCTCTCTCTGCTAGTACTTAAAAAGAAAAAAAAACTCAAAGTTATCCGTTATCCAGATACCCCAATGCAACTATTATTTTATGACTTTAATTGTAAATAGGTTACTTAAATTTAAATATCGCAAAGCCTCGAGGACTATCTGCGTAAGAGGAGAGGATACCTTCGTAGAGGCCTTTCTAAGGGAAACTAGCTCATATTTATGTTACACATGGGGTAACCACAAAAAACCAACCATGCAGCCAACCTGTTCGCCTGGGACGGAACCCAAGCCAGGTCGAACTACCAGTATTCAGTTGTCTTAACCACTCAACCACTGGTGGGGCTCTTAATTCTAAATAGAAAATTATACATTGCACTCCTGTAATACTCTTTTTAAATGAATCACATTTCAAGGAAAACAAGCTCTGAAGTTAATTCAATATTACAAATTCGAGAAAAATTCAACTTAACATTAGTATCCTGATCCTGTAAAAATGAACATTTTTTTAAAAATTAAAAGGTCATGATGTTGTTGTGAATTATAAGACCTCATATGTAACATTGATATATGAGGTTTTAACTCACCTTTATGTAATCTTGCATGCATTCCCATAAAGCATCCAATACTTCTGGTATCACTCTTGACAATGTTTGTTTAGGTATTCTAAACAAATACTGTAAATTTGAATAGGAACACCCTGTAACATAATAAAAAACTTAAAAAATAAATTTATTAAAAATGATGTAGTGATATAATAATTATGATATTTATTCATTATAAATTTCTCAAAATTTAAAAAATAGTGATTAAAATTATTGTTTGAATTTGTATTTCAATTTTTGTGAATTTGATTTATTAATTTTATCAAAATTAATTGATTTTTTTCCAATAAAATAAAAATTAACTTACCACCAGCTAGAAAGCGTAAAGTAACATGCAGCCTCTCAGATGGTGAAATTGCACAACGCATAATCGTATCCTGTTTTTTAATTTTGCTGCTCACTAAGTTTAATAAATAATCAAAATCGCACGGCATCATTCGCAAATACTTTCCAAATTCCACCCTGTCTTCAAAACGCAGCTCTTGGAACAGGGTATTATGGGCTCCATGAATTTCTCTGCGTTTCACCCAATTTCTCGTCCAAATACGCTTTCTTTTTTCTTCTTCTGCAGCAGCGAAGATCAAAATCGCAGATGTTGCTACAGTAGCAATTAACGGGAAATCTTCATCCATTTTTTATTATTGTCGCCTAAATTCACTCCCCCACAGTTTCGTTTTCACAGTTGTTGATAGTGTGACGCTACATAGGGCGGGAATTCTTCCTCGGACAGTGATTGGTTAAGGCATTTCCTGTACCGACGACAAAATCGTTGCGTGTAGACAAGCAAGCTCTCGCAGATAAAATCGTACGAGAAAGTCGGCCGATAAAACGGTACTGTAGACGGCCTTAAGGCCGAAGGCAGAGGATTGGAATTAGGACGTTAACTAGAACAGAAAGATTTTTTGAGTGAAATGCTCTAGAAATCAGTTTTCTGTTGCCAAAATTATTCAAAAAAAATTCAGAGAGTTTTTTGATTATTTGGCACAGAAAATGAAAGTGTGATTTCGGACAACAATATGAGCACAGAAGACTCTGGTTCATTTCACAGATAGAACCAGAGAATATTGCATTTATTAAAGCTCTATTTAATCTTATTTCGTATATCTGGTTTATGTAACAAAATATATCATTTAAAAATTCTGAATGAACCCTTATAGTAATAATAACTTCTACCTTTGACTCTTTTTGGTGAAAAGCTTTCCGTTGGATTGCAGAAAGCACTCTCTCTCAAATCTATTTTTAGGAAAGGAGAATACAGACACTTTTGGTCCTGTTGGGGTAGTTTTCTTTACATAATGGTACACAGCATCTACCCGGTGTTTTAATAACTGAAATGTTTCATATTTAAATTAATATATAAAAAGGAGTAAATAGTGTATAGTTAATGGCGTGTAAAATTTTAAGAATAAGCTGTGTTAGCTTGTATTTATAACATCAAATTTATACAGGTCCATAAAAAAAAACATTTATTTTGAAACAGATCAGGTTATATCATATAACTATTCAAAGCCCATTTGTTCTACGATGGGCTGACACAACATTATTCAAAAAGAAATTGTACATAGCACAGCAGCCTTGTCTCTACCAGAAATAACACATGTCTACTAGAATATACGCCTAAAAATGTTGATATAATTAGAAAAATATAAAATTTAACAGAAGTGAAGTAATGTATATTCTTACCTCTCTAAAATGCATCCAACCTTAAAACCATATAAAAAATCCAAGTGTTCTGGTTCAGCGTTTCGCACAACGTAACAAGCTTCAGCAAAGAGCCACTTCATATGTTCTGAAGTTTGTTATGACCAGAAGTCGTGACGTCACACGAATTTTCAA